AAGTTGAGGATTGACTCGTGATGCAGTTTGGTGATTTCTTTAATGTATATCCTATCCACTTACTACATAGTATCCTAATTTCTTCTTCACTTGGTAGCTGGTTTGTTCTCTCCCATAATAGACTGTTGCTGATGGTATCCGGTCAACTATGGACATTGAGTTTCTTGAGTAGGCAATTTTATTTTAGAAATACTTGAACATTTTTGATGATATTTGTGGTAGTTCTTCACGTTTCAGCGACGTATATTATAACTTATTGTCTTAACGTTCGTATTGAAGATTCTGAATTTGATGTTGGCTTGTAGACAATTGTTTAGAGTTTCATATATATTCTTCAATTGTAAGAATTGTAGGAATCCACTACTAGCAAATCCGGCAACACTCAAATTGAACAAGAATTAAGTATCTTTTAATCATTCAAAAGTAAAGTAATATTGGTTTGATCAGGTTAGTAGTCCTTGGATTGTAGAAATAATGATAAGAAGTGACGAGTCAAAACAATAAACGGTAATACAACTGACGATGAATATATCACTAACAAAGTTGGGTTGCTTTTCTGTTTCCTTAACTTAAAATTAAGAAATGGAATCTTAAATAACATATATCTTTACTCTTTTATATAAGAATAATTAAGAATAGTATTCTAGGCATTCTTCTATTCAGATAGATAGATAGTAAGAGATAAGCTATGGTGAGAGTAGATATGCTTAATCACCTATATACTTACTGACTTGTCTGTTTCTTTCGCTTCAGTTACCTAACATTTCTTTTCGTTTCTTAACGTTTGCCTACATTATCAAATGTTTAAAATACAAGTTCCCCAAATAATTACGTATGTTGTTCTGGCAATTGATTCCAAGAGTTCATCTAAATTAGACCACTATTGAGAATGTTGAAGTGCTAAACAGCCATTTTGTTCTAGTGTAGCACTTCTCAGTAGTGCACATTCATGATCCCGCACATGAAACTCAAAAGCAGGACATTCAGCCTGACGCACGAACGCTCAACCTCTAGAACACTTAGGCAACATCAAACAGTGTAAATGTTTCACTTCAATCGATCCATGATATTGTGCAATTCTTCATTCATTGTCTGAGATGGACAACTATTTCACACCCTACACGCTGCCTCATACCATTACAAAATGGCTGTCCATTGTTTCCATATTTTTAACAGAGATCGACTGTAAATCGACTCTTGAATCCCCAACCTGATCTATATTGTTGTTAACGGAATTAGTTGACAGATTATATAAGAACATATAGTAGAGCATATATTTCACATACATCACTATCACTCGTTTACTATAAAGTTTGACGTAGGGTTACAAGAATATGAAAGAGAAAAAAAACACGTGGTCTGTAACTAGCCTACTATTACGTAATACACATTACGTAAACACTCTGATAGTGAAGATGATAAACAAAAAAAATGTAAGAAATAACAAACAAGTACAGGAAATGAAAGAACAAAATCAATAAAATCTTTTGTTTAGTTATATCCGGTTAAAGAATGAATGATATTATCATTTTTATCATGATTGTTGTGTAAACTACTTATTTTGACAGACAATAAGTAGTATATAATACCAAATCAGAAGTAGAATAACTGGCAACAGAAGATTGAGAATAGAACTAAAACAGAGAGTCATTGTAATAGTATTGAAGGAATGATGAAGTTTAAGATCATTCATAGAGGATTTGTAAATGATGGATAGTCTTCACATTTTATGTAGAAACCACAAGTTGATTGGTCCAACCACCGTTACACTATTTTCTAATATTCAACCTGTACTTTTAACTTATTAGCAGTTGTTGTGCGAATATTTAGTCATATATATTAGCTTGATTGGTTTAGTATATTTATGTACCAATGTTAATCAATATAAATATACAAACAATTACCATACCGACTGGATCATGAAGACATTAAAATCTGGAGGGAAGTACGGGATACAATGGACAGCCAGGATGAAGCTGAACAATCTAGACTTCGTAAATGATCTACCTCTTTTATCACATATAGAACAACGAATGCAGGAGAAGACGAAAAGTGTAGTTCCAGCCTCAGAAGCAGTAAGTCTCAATATACACAAAGAGTAAAACAAGATTCTTCGACACAACACAAGATAAGTCAATTGAATCACACTTGACGGAGAAGCTTTGGAGGATGTGAAAACCTTCACATATCTGGGCAGCATCATCGATGAACACGGTGGATCTGATTCAGATGTGAAGACGCGGATCGGCAAAGCAGCATATTTACAACTGAAAAACATCTGTAGCTCAAAACAATTGTCAATCAATATCAATACAAATGTGAAGACAATTCTACTGTATGGATCAGAAACGTGGAGAACTAAGAAGGCCACTATCCAGAAGATACAAGTATTTATTAACAGTTGTCTAAGCAAGATACTTCGGATCCATGAGAGAGAACAAAGCAGATTCCATCTAGTAGAGGAATAAATCGGGAAGAAACTCTGGAACTAGATAGGACACATGTTGAGGAAATCATCCAACACAAGCCATTACGCGGAGTCTTGAATGTCAAAGAAGAAGAGAAAGACGAAAGAACACATCACACCGAGAAATGAAGACGGACGGAGAGGAATGAATAAAAATTGTATAAAAATAGAAAGGAAGGCCCAGCATAGAGTGGGTTGTAGTATGCTGGTTGGGAAGCCTATGCTCCATTGCGGGTAACAGGCGTATGTAAGTAAGTAAGTAGGAATGTATATAATCATGTATATTAGAGTGGAGACCAAATTTCGACTTGTTTACATTATTCAGTAATTCCATCTAATTTCTTTTTAAAGAAAACTAAGTCACTATTCAGTTGAATAAAAAAAATATCATAATACTTATGAATAATTAACCAATGTACATGTATTTTGCATGTACTCCATATAGGCAGATAGATCCTATCTCTTAGGGATCATCAAGTAAGACTAGATACTCTAAGAGTCACTTGTTTCCTCCAAATAAACATAAGTGTACAGGTATATCTATACATTTATTATTCTATTATACTGAATAATTAATCAATCTAAGAACAAGTTGAATCCTTAATTTATCGTTTTTTTAAATAGTTATTTATCTAGAGCTATTATGTAATCAGTAGATTAGTTTCTAAGGTATCTCATCTCAACTTCTCATTCTATCTGTCTGTTTGTCTGATAATTCTACTAATTATTTATTTAATATCAGAAGAGGCTTTTATAGTTATTATAGTAATTTTATAGAGTTGAGATCATAAGTCAATTAAAACTAGACCATCATAGAAGATTAAGCGTTCGCGCGCGTGAGATCGATAAGTCCTGTGTTTGAATCTCACGAGGCGGTATTTTAGATACGCATTACTAAGAAGTCCCACAATATGACGAGATAGTCATTTAGAACTTCCAGGTTTTCGATGGTGTCCTAGCTTCAATTGACTAATGATCTCAATTATTTAAATTACTTATTTATCTTTATAGAGTTGAGATCATGAGTCAATTGAAGCTAGACTACCATGGAAAACCTGCAAACACTGGACGGCCGTTTCGTCCTATTATCGGACTCCTCAGCAGTGCGCGTCCACGAACCCACTCTCGCGGGATTCGAACCCAGGACCTACCAGTTTCGAGCCGAAGCCCTTAACCGATAGACCACTGAGCTGGCATCCAACGGTGTTAATTTCTAACTTCAACTGATTCACGAAATTGAGCAACCATTCACCAATGTCATCAGTGAGTTCCTATCTCACAACAGACCTGGTTGTTATCTAGTGGAAAAGTTGTACTTATAATGATATTAATAATCAAGTTTACATATTACTAGCTAGATTATTATTTGACTCTATGGTTGAAAAATGTTAGAGAAATACTTAGAAATCTATCCCAATAATGTAAATAAATCAATTTTGTTTTTAACATTTCCTGTATGTGAATTGTATAAATGAATAATTAACACTTTTCATGTATTAGTTTATAGATACTGAAAGAGTTTAGACATGTTTCCTGAATGAAATGTTAGAATCCAATTGGTATTGGTTGCTTAAAACTTTCTATTAATGTTTAGGATTTCAATTAATGAGTCTCTTATTGTTATATTTGCATACAGTGCGTATTGCTTCAATATATCTTAATTCACAAGGATTATAAGTAAAGATGGATAGTGGCTAGAAGTGAAATCCAAGAAGCGCGTTTCGTCTTATTTGGAACTCGTCAGCTGGATTTATTGCATCTGAGTTGATGTTCACTCTGGGACTCGAACCCAGTACCTTTCGCTTCATACGCAACCCCGTTATCCAATTAGTTACTGAGTCCTGAATAGCCACTTGCTTCTGAAATGCGGTGGATTTTAGATTCAATTGGCTATCAGAATTCAGTAGCTGACTGGATAATGCGAAGGCGTTTGACCGGTACTGGGTTCGAATCCCATAATGAACATAAACTGTGAGATGCAGGTACATCCGACTGACCAGTCCCATATAGAACGAAACGTGCTTCCTGCATATCACTGCTAGCTAATATCCATCTTCGTTTATAATGCTTGTGAATTAAGACCATGTCGAGGCAATACGCACAGAATGTACATATGTCAATAAGAGACTGATCAATCGCAGTGTTAAACATCAATTTGAAGATACAATACCGAGTAAGTGTGTGCATCAGTTAATATGAAAAACAAAATTGTTGTGTTACTTACTTACTAACTTACGCCTGTTACCCCTCGTCGAGGAGCATAGGCCGCTCACCAGTATATAAGTAAGTAAATATGTAAGTGTAGTAAAGCTATGGCATTTATCATCTCAAAACACTCCTGATGTTTTAGCCAAGGTCTCTTGTATACATTACATTACAAAGACAACTCTCTGTTTATAAGATTGACGACCATTCCAGTATGTATTACCATGGTAACACTGTATTATATAATGTAATTATCTCTATATATTTATAGCTGAGTATTATCCTTATTATTACTATTACGTAATCCTTTCTTTTTCTTTTTCTATAGTTTACAGTTTTGTATTAGCAAATGCACGTATTGTTGATTATCCAATTGTTTATTGTAATGAAGGTTTCTCACGTTTAACTGGTTATAGTCGTGTTGAAATTATGCAAAAAAGTGGTAGTTGTGCATTTTTCTATGGTGAACAAACAACAAAGGAAATGCGTGAACGTTTATTAAAAGCATTAGATAGTCAAACACCAGATCAAATTGAAATGTTATTTTATAAAAAAAATCGTAAGTATTTATTGTAGTTTTTGTAATGATACTTACTTACTTGCTTACTTACTTACCTACGCCTATTACCCCTCGTGGAGAAGAATAGGCTGACCACCAGCATTCTTCATCTAACTCTGTCCTGAGCAGATGCATATTACTGATATGTATATTCAGAAAAGGCTTTGTGGAGATTTCAGTAATTTTCATTGTTGAAATCATTAGTCAATTGAAGCTAGACCACCACGGACAACCTGGAAGCACTGGACGGCCGTTTGGTCCTATTATGGGACTCCACGATCCCGCACTCGCGGGATTCGAACCCAGGACCTAATAGTTTCGCACCAGAGCACTTAACCGATAGACCACTGAGTCGGCTTCCAGGTTTTTCATGGTGGTCTAGCTTCAATTGACTCAAGATTTCAACAATGATATGTATATATAAATGGTGTATTCTGACAATTCTTGATTGTTTATGTTAACATCAGTTCAGTTGGACATATAGTTCAGTAGTTTGAAGGTTAAGTACGAACCTGTGAATCCTTAAGGTGTCTGTTTCGTAGCTGTCAACATTTGTCTACAATATCTAGTATTTTGTTCGTTCATTTAATGATTGAATGCTGCATATAAGAGTATGATTTTTAATGAGGATTTTGTCTCAAAATTTTAATACCACTTTTCTACTCGTTTCATCTTGCTAAGTCTTGCTGATTGCACGCTATACTCGGATCGTAAGCCAGTCTCGTAACCCCTAAGCTAGAACTGCACAGCGACTTGAACACGAGAGAAAAGGCGCAGTATTTTAGAAATCTTTACGTTTTCCAGAAAATTCCGGAATGTTATTAAACATAGTAGCAGTGCAGAACTTCTACATATGACTTTTCATTTTCTTGATATTTCTAGTAAAGCTTTCAGTCAAACGGTGATTGAATAAAAATACTTACTAATGTTTTTCTGAGCTTATCATGTCTATTGCGAGAAATATTGTGGACAATCCTAACACATCTAGTTATTCGAGGTGCTCTACAAAAGTGTATTCACAGTAAACATATGTAGAGATAGCTTTAGATAATTGAAATGAGGTCCCCCACTGAAATGTATACCCTTATATGTAGCACTAACACCTGAAATTAACAGGAAGATGTTCGTATATGCTAGATATTACACTTTTATTGAATATGAAAAGTGAATGATTATCCTCATCCATTTTCCACAAAGCCTGAAGATCTTGAATGCAATCCCTGAATGAAGATTACCTGATAGTTTCATACTACAACAAACTCTCTATATAGTGCTATCCATTTATCAATGATTTACTAGTTAAAATCGGTTGGACATTTAAAACTATATATGTACATTGTGATTTTACGCCTATTGTTGTGATTTTATATCCGGCTTTTTGTGACGTGATTTATCCACCAATCGAAATAAGGCTTTTCTAATATAGCACTGTGCCAAATCAATGACGTTCAACCGTTATGAGCAGTCTAGCGTCCGTATTGGTCTCTTGTCTGCCTAGCCCTGCCAGTTGAGTCCAGAACACCAATAACAGCCTCTGTTACGCGAGTTATTTATTTCGAGCATACTCCGTTTATATATACCAGACAGATAGACTGCATCATATCATAAAATAGAAAATAATATTTGTACAAGATCAAGCCAAAATTTGACTGTGAACGTGGGATTTTGTGGTTGCCGGTATTCAATATTATCCTTAAACTTCGTATATTGTTCGTCTTGATAATCGTAACTCGATAAGGGTGTATAAATCTGAAGGCGAATACAAAGTGTTTATTACGTTTATTAATGAACTACGCACAGATATCCCAAATTACAGGCACGTTAAGCAAGCATGAAAGTGTAGTGTCGTAAAGCAAACGAGTGAGCGTGCGAGTCAAATGAGCGAGAGAGTTATCGATTCAATGAACGAGCTTGCACTTCAACGAGTCACTAAACAGGGTTAAGATGTACATATATATACATGGTGAAATGAATGAATCATCGAATCAATTAAGCGACTAATAGTAAGGCTACGAGAATAAATATGTGCGTAGTCAGCAAGCGATACTCAAGCATACATATTCATACAAGTGTGCAACAATAATAAAGGTTATTTATTAATTTAAACACATAAATATTGGTAAAATGAAGCACCAGATACATACACTCCACACAAATCTCATTTGATTTGTGTCAGGGCTGAGATACTGCCCGGACATTCGCTATTAGTCTTCTCAATTTCGTAGACAAAAGTAATGCCACGAGAAAGCAATGAGTATGACTTCCCTGACAGAGGCTATATACGCGTGTGCATGTGAGAGCAGTTGGAAAGGAATAGCGGAGTCTCCCCACTGTCAGCAGAACCAGGGCATTCGAGAGCCAATAATAAAGGTAAAGTAGTATAGCTAAGTTGTTATTGTACGAATGACTCCGTCCATTAACTAAGTTAACAAAAAGAACTTAACCAAATTAAATATGAACAAACTCAAATGTACCTTAGCTGCTATACGTCATTAAACCATTGATCTAAGTTTTCTGTTGCTCTGCTCTCGTTACTAACACATGTATTTAGAATTCCTTTAGAGAATTAATGACTTCTCATATGATTCAAGCTAGACACTTGATCCATAAACTACAATCATCATAAAAGAATAGATGAGCATAACATTGAATAGAATGTCCAATGGACACTCTATGACATTCATAATAATTAAATTGTCATGAAAATGCTTCTTTATATCTACATTTTAGGTTTACCATTTTGGTTACTTGTATGTGTTGCACCAGTTCGTAATGAATGTGAAGAAGTAGTATTATTTCTATTGGCTTTCAGAGATATTACAGCATTGAAAACACCATTTGATGATGAAGAAACTGTTAAAGGTAAAATACCATGTTTCCATGTGTTTTTTGATAAAGTCATCATTTTCTTTACTTGTATCTAATGAAATGTATAAAAGATCTAATTGTCTACATGGCTCTTGGCTCAATTTGCAAAATCTTCTTATGGAATTCAATTTTGCCTCTTTCACATTAGTGGGAGTTCTAAGAAATATAAAAAAAACTCTTATCACTTCCCCGATCAATTTAAATCAAGAAACAATTGTAGTTAATTATTTACCTTTCAGTTTTGATGAAATTTTGTTCTCTGTGCTGGTGGAGCTTTCATCATCCTTCTGAACAACATCATCAGCATGTACTTCACTTCTACCTGACTCGCTTGAACTCGTAAGGTTGATGTATCTGCATCTCAGAGTTGATGTTCACTATGTGACTCGAACCCATTACCTTTCGCTTCAAACGCCATCGTGTTATCCACTCAGCTACTGAGTACTAATAGCCATTTGCTTGTGCAATACGGTAAAATTTAAATTCACTAGATGCAGATACATCCAGTTGACAAGTCACCATCTACCTTTGCCAACACTATTTTAGTTATTTCTTCAAAGGGAAAAAAGAATTCAATTAAGAAATAAAAAGAGATTAATAGGGATAAATTTCATTTAAATATCACCTTACTTCACCCTCAATTTTAAATGAAAGAAAGAAAAAAAACTATAATAATCAAGTTCAAAGTTGATGAAACTGAACTTTGAAAAGGGAAATCAACTGAGAATTGATAGGAAAGAAGGTGTGTGTTTGTGTGTGTAGGGGGGGTGGGTGTACATAAGTTTCTTATGACCATTTGATAATACCTTCAGTAGAAGAAGAAGAAGAAGAAGGAAACAAAAGTGAAATAATTACAAATAAGGAATAACTTGACAGCATAACTAATAATTAACACATCCGGTTGAATAACAACTATGTATATATACCTATATATGGATGTTAGATAATAGTCGTGTGAAATGATAATTAAAGTCGAACAGGTTAACAAACCTTGTAAAGGAAATGAAATCTAATTATATATTATATTCAGAAAGCTCTTTTAGTTTTTACCAACTGATGTCACCTATGGCGAAAGCGAGATATTCGTCTATCAATTAAAGGAACGAGTATACTGCGTGGCAGTTCATTTTGTTCAACGTTATGAATTCAAAACGTGGCCACTTAGAGTAGAAGATACTCGTAATCAACTAGTATTTGATAACAGATGTTTTTAGAAATATTGCTTGTATCTGCTGGGATCACTGGATGAGTAATAGTTGATGAGGTTGTAAGTTTTCATCGACTGATATAGTTGGGTTATGTGTTACATATGCCTGAACACCGATTACAATGACGCAAAATGTTGACTAGTATTGGCGATGATTGGAAGAAAGTTGGGGATGGCCAAACCTAAACGTGGCATTAGTGCTTGATGACACGAACTTATGATTTTAGATAGATGCAGACTACTTGGTTGTGGTCCGCGTGTTTGTCATAACCAACGGTTGGAAACTCTGTGTGACATGGCTCAGAATCGACCACAATGGCGTCAGTTTATACACTCTCTGTCTTCCTTTAAACAATGAGACTAAACTTGCTTTATACCCTTTTTTCTATATACTAATTCTTTTTTCCTATATTATATCCTTATACACAAGCTTTCTTTTATATATTACTACCATAGAAGCAACTGTTTTTATGAATTTGGTGTTCATCTTCTTGTGCTAATGAGGTGTGGCAATTTGAACTGATGCATACATGTACCTCGTCTTACGTTGTAGCTGACTGACTGATATATATATGACAAGTTAATAACTAAACTTGTTCACCTAAGTAACCAAAAGATACTTTTGTAGTAAGATTTAAAAATTCAGGACACTGTTATTTGTAGATTACTTGATGTGAATTGTTCGATAGAAATTCCAAGACAAGAACGAAAAAGCTCATAATGATATGTCGCTTTTGTATATAAATACATCTGTGTAGCTCTAATAAATGATGTAATCGACATCAGTTTTCTTTGCAGAAACAGTGGGACTATAACTTATGGATGACCCTTGAACGAATCTTCGATGACCTTGGGAAATTTCAGTTATAGATCAGAGGGGGTTTTGTGAAGAATTTAGTATTTTCACAGTTGAAATCATGAGTCAATTGAAGCTAGACCACTATCGAAAACCTGGGAACCTGGAAAAACCGGCCGTCCAGTGTTTCCAGGTTTTCCATAGTGGTCTAGCTTCAATTGACTCATGATTTCAACTGTGAAAATTTCAGTTCAGCAGAAAACAATCGGTATAGAGTAAGAGTATATTTATGCGAAACCAAAATGTTAGAGAAGATACATTGCTTTAACATGAATTAAGAGCTTTTCAAGGTTAGAAAAGAGGCTCTATAGTTCTAAAATCGTAATGCGTACTGTATATCTATGTGACTCTATGGCAGTTGACTTCTGGAGCAATGATAAAATCGCAACAATTCTTTTAACCTCGACCATAGTGTTTCTTTATTAATTTGTGTATTCCAGTAGCGGGATCTACAAAATGCCGCTTGTGGACGACGACACGATGTACGTAACCAAGTCCATGTAAGCATCGATATGCTCTCCAGTCATCCATATATATTGTGGTTCCCGACTGCACATACTCTCGCATATTTTGTATTATAGTTGTAACTTGTCGGTTTCTAAAGTGCTGGAAGTGTTCGTATATACCAAGAACCTGTTAAGTATATTTATGAAAATACTACTTACCCTATTGAATTTGCGTTTTCTAACGACTATTTTGCTTATCTCTACGATTCTCTCAACTCCTCCAAACGACTCATTCAAGCTTGTCATTTTTATTTCACATATATCTCGACAATGCTCATACCATTGAACTGTCAAATCTTCAGGAACATCTAAAGGTTTCAGCCAGTGTTACTGTTATTGTTATTCAGTTTGCAAGAATTATCACAATCGGTCTTAGTCTCAATCGTGATCGAGCGAAAACTGTTCTCGTTCTAGGAGAATTTTTATTGTGACATATATTACATCAGAATACAACATCATCACGATAGTCTACACAAGGTCCAAAACTCATTTGACTATTGAAATAAAAAATAAGAAAACTTTTTAGTAATCCCATTTGTTGTATCAGCTCAATCATAAAGTCTTCTTTAAGATCGGCTGTAAATCAGTCGTCCGTGATCATTGGGTACTGAAATAGGTGCCACGACCTTGTTATTGCTCAAACGCATGTCCATAAATTATAGTTTCGCCGCAGAAACATAATTTCATAAAATAACTTTTATCAGAAGGGGTTTTTTAGAGATTTCAGTAATTTTACAGTTAAAATGATGAGTCAACTGAAGCTAGATCACCATAGAAAACCTAGAAGTACTAGTTGGTCGTTTCGTCGTCAGCAATGCATATCCACGATCCCGCCTTGCGAGATTCAAACCCAGGACAAGTTACCTTAGCATTCGTAGTGACCATAACGATCTGTGAATATGTTATTATGCAGGGTATGGCCTAAGAGGCCTTCATCTGAATTTGTTCAAATGATTCCTAATATTTCTGCTGAGGAGTCCCTCAATGCGACGAAATGGTCGTCCAGTACTTCCAGGTTTTCTATGGCGGCCTAGCCTCAATTGACTCATGATTTCAACTATTAAAAATAATTTTCTAAAAACCTTTCCTCATTATTTATATTTTAAAACTATTTCATTTAGAATTCACTTAGTATTGTCTGCTTACTATTTCATTTAGGTTTAAGTAAATTTGCTCGATTAGCCCGTTCAGTTACACGTAATCGTTCAGTTCTACAACAATTATCTGCATCACAAACATCAACACAAAATTCTGCATTAACTGTATATCGTAGTAATCGATTAATAGGATGCGGTGGTGGTGGTGGCAGTGGTACTGGTGGTACTGATAATACTAGTGGTGTAATGAATGATGATACAGAAGTATCAAATCAAATGGAACAATATAATTCACCAAGTTTATCAAATTTTCAAAATTTAAATACTAGTTCAACTTCACGATTTCATGATTCATCAAAATCAGATCCAGAAAAAGCGGTAATGGTAAGCAATCAATGAATATTATGTTTTTTGGTAAAATATAGAATTCTCAGTGCAAAGTATCCTTTTCTTATTTTATAAACGATTCTGGTGATCAATAGTGAGTGATCACTAATTAGAAGTTATCAGTTCAGGAATCGTCTTCTGAATAATGTACATTCTTTTTGCTGCATATTGCCAGGAACTATGATGTCACTGGTTGTGCTCTTTCCTAAATTGTATAGTAAAAGGTGGTGAACTTTTCACAAACGAACCTGAATAAGTTAACTGGCATAATGATCTGTTGAAACAAACGAGAAAACAGATAACTTGTTGAAATATCTAGATAGCTGGAACAGGTAGACCAGATATTCAAGCAGGCCATCTTGATAATAATAAGCAAAGATGGATAGTGGCTAGCAGCGGAATCCAGAAAGCACATCTCATCCTGTTTGGGACTCGTCAAATTGAATGTAACTGCATCTCAGAGTTGATGTTCACTCTGGAAATGAAACCCAGTACCTTTCGCTTCAAATGCCATCGTGTTATACACTCATCTAATGAGTCCTGATAGCCAAGTGAATTTAAACTTCACCGCATTTCAGAAGAAAGTGGCTATTCAGAACTCAGTAACTAATTTGATGACGCGATGGCGTTCGAAGCGAAAAGTACTGGGTTCGAGTCCCAGAGTGAACATCAACTCTGAGATGCAGATAAATCCAGCTTACCAGTCCCGAATAGGACGAAACACGCGTCCTGGATTCCACTATTAGCCGCTATCCATCTTTGCTTACCATGCTTGTGAATTTAGGCCATATCGAGGCAATACGCACAGGATGCACATATACCAATTAGATACTGATCAGTTGCAGTCCTAACACATCAATGGGAAGATTAAACAACAAACAATATCAAGTGAATAATAATAATTATTATTATTACTTTAATAAAACTGATTACCATGAAAATTGATAAACTGACTATACTAATCAGTATTCCAATATATCGTTATCTTTTATTCAATTATTTGATATTATGGATGAAAATAAATTAACTGTTGTGAAAATAATTACGTAATTACTTACATCTGTTGATCCTCGTGAAGAAGAATAGACCGCCTACAAGCATTCTCCATCCAGTTCGGTCCTGAACACTCCTCTCCAGTTATTTCTAGTTACTATTCATCCTTTACATGTTTACTTCCAATTTTCAGAGTAGTGTGTTTTTCAATCTTCCTCTTTTCCTTTTCCTTTCAGGATTCTGAGTTAGTGTTTGCCTCGTGATGTAGTCTGGTAATTTCCCACATGTATGTTCGATCCAATTCCAACGTCTTTTCTTAATTTCATCTTCAAATGGGAGCTGGTTTGTTCTCTCCTACAGTAGGCTGTTGATGTCTGTATCCCGTTAACGAGTAGCTTGAGTAGACAACTGTTAATAGATACTTTTACATTCTTGATGATGATTGTAGTAGTTCTTGATGTTTCAACCCTATACAGCAGAACTGTATTCACGTCCGTATTGAAGATTGTGGTTTTAATATTGATTGACAGTTTTTTTGAGTTCCATGTTATTCAACTGTAGGAATGCTATCCTTATTTTGTCAATCCTTACCTTTATGTCTGCATCAGATCCGCCATGTTCATTGATGATCCTGCTATATAGTTGCGTGAAAGATTCTATATCCTTCAGATCTTCTCCATCAAGTGTGATTTAGTTGATGTTTTGCGTGTTGTATTTGAGGATCTTGCTTTTTCCGTTGTGTATGTTGAGGCCAACTTATTCAGAGGATATTGCCACAGTAGTTGTCTTTATCTGCATTTGTTCGCCTGTACGGGATAGGCGATGTAGGTCACCTGTGAAGTCTGAATCGTCTAATTGATTCTCAGCTGTCCATTTTATCGCATGCTTCCCCTCAGATGTCGAGGTTTTCATAATCCAGTCAAACACCTGAAGAATGTGGAAGAGGGAGGATAAGCAGTCTTTTCTGATTCATGTCCTCACTTGGATTGCATCTGTGAGCTGCCCTTCATCCACAACTTCACAGTGTAGTTCGTCGTAAGAATTGTATATAATGTTGAAGATTTTCTCAGCTACTCACACCATAGTGTCGAAAACGTTTTCATAAATTCCTTTTCATAATCAGTGAAGTTGACGTTTAGTGATGAGTTCCATCCAATTGATTGTTCATTAGTGATTTATAGTGTCGTGATTTGGTCTGTGCATGGTCGATCCCAAAAATCTGATAGTGGATTTCCGCTTAAATAAGAGTGAGACAGTCATCACTGATGTCTCTGGGTGATTACTGTATTATACTTTTAAAAAAGTAGGATTATGAAATATGAACTGATGAATTCTAAATAAATAACCCAATTGTTAAACATTCCCCTCGAAACTTGAAGCTTATGGGTTTGATCGCAGGAAGGATCTTGAATGTATACAATGTACAGTCAAATACTAATTTTTAAGGCATCTGTTTTCTACTTCACTGTCTTGATTTTTCAAAGTTTTAATAATAATTTATGAGTTGAAATGTTTGGAATTGAGATGGTTATTAGCTAATGACAGTCGGTGATGGAGTGCATTGCGAACTAGTTGGATCCTAATACATTAGGCTTAAAATATCTTATACTCAATGAAGTGTAAGCATCGTAGTTTCCATCTTGTTAGAAGTTTAAGGATATTTAGTAGGAATCCCTTCACCTCAGTTTTCGTGTCAGTTGATAAACATCATTAAGATGTATCTTTAATCCTGTGAATAATTTCCGTCCCTGTACGACTTGAAGCAACGTCGCCCAGCTTTTAAGTTCGAAATTTTACCGCTTATATCGTGTAGGACTGAGATATTTACAACTGGTTGATAACTGAGTAATGACCTATGTTAAATCAAATAAAACCTTTAGTAGTGGTATCTCAAAATGTGAAGCAGGATGAATCGGGTTAAAATTTCATCTGCCTCAGTAATTCCAACAATATTAAACCCATACTTTCATGACTTGTGTAAACCGGCACAAACTACGGCTTCCTGTTGATAATCTACAGCCATCTCACATCTCAACATTATGTAAGCGATATTGATACACTTATACTAACGATCATATTGCAGCTTGGTAGATATCATCCGATAGGGTTTAATGTAGAATACTGGTGGGTGGCCTATACTCTTTAACAAAAGGTAACAGGTATAAGTTAGTAAGTAAATAAGAAGATATCATTCGAATAGTAGTAAGAAGGATTAAACAAATATGACATAGTAACTATTCAGTTATCAACTAATTGTAAATAACCTAATCAGTTAATTGTTTTAACCTAGTGTATATTTCTGCCAAATCATACTTCCTGTTACTGTAAAACATTCCTCTAACTGATGTACAACTCATGTACCATATACAGATCTCTATACTTATCTGAAGTAATACTAACATACGATTACTTACACAGATATGTAACAGATTATTGTTTGAAAATCGAGTGTTTTATCCACTAGGACTATTAATTAAGTCATTAAAGTTCATATTAGCTTAATAAACGTTTTGTTTTACTGTATTAAATTATATTTTAATGAATCTACTGAACAGATTTTAAATAATAATCTTAATTTGCAAGTATGATAAGCATAGATGGATAGTAGCTAGCAGTAGAATCCAGTTTGACGCGCGTTTCGTTCTATTTAGGACTCGTCAGCTGGATGTACCTTCATCTCAGAGTTGATGTTCACTCTGGGACTTGAACCCAGTACCGTTCACTTTAAACGCCATCGCGTTATCTACTTTGCTACTGAGTCCTGATAGTCGTTTGCTTGTGCAAATGGAGTGAAGTTTAAACTTACTTGATATTGTTTACTTGATTTTTCTGATTAATGTTTAGGACTCTAATTGATCAGTCTTTTATTAATATATGTCCACACTGTACGTATCGCCTTGAACCTTGATTCGATTATTTTTTTAAATTAAACAGTTTTCAGCATCACTTTCTTCTTCTTCTATACACTGTAAAATAACTTTAAAATGCATATCATTCCAGGAATATATTTCAGAAACTTTGTTGAATTCATTAATCGATTTAAGTTAGACCATCATTGAAAACCTGGAAACACTAAGCGGCTATTTTGTTCTAGTCTATGACTCCTCATTAATGCACATCCATCCAAATCCCTCTGGCGAGATTCTTACCCAGAATCTTCGGTCTCGAGTGCGATTGCCTAATCTCTAGACTACTGCTGAGAAGTTCCATATTAAAACAAAACGGCCGTTTAGTGTTTGCAAGTTATCCACAATGTTCTAGCTTTAATTAATTCATAAATTCAACTATTATATTACTAGAATTTCTACAAAAACCCCCTTCTAGTAAATTTATGTGATACAATTAAGGAAAACATGTTACTTTACAGATGAACATACTTTAATAATGTGTCAATAATACTTAAATACATTATAATACAGTGTTAAATAGACAATAATGTCATTTTTTTTTAGCAATTTCCGGTTAAATATATATATAGCTTTAAATGAATACCTACTCTTGTTGTCATGGCAACTAAATTAGTGTTTATTTTTTTTTAACTACTATCTTTTTTTTACATGCAAATACCTTCTGTTACCTTAACTCTTTCATAATTACTTACTTACTAAATATAACAAACAAGGGGAAAGATTTATAGGAAAGAATAGGTGTTTTTTTTTGTAATTAGCTATTAATTAACATTATAAATGACAGGTAAATAGGTGATTGAACTTTTCCTGTGAATTGTACATTAAATCATTGTATTGTAATCAGGAAAAATGTAAAAGGTTCAGCTAACTAATGATGATGGAGAAGATTCGTAGTTCAGTTGGATGGTTTTCATAGAGTTTTGTTCTTTAAGCTAGATGGTTTGATCGTGGAGCTTTCATTGGTTTATTTTTCTGAATGACATTGTCAGCAGAAACTTTAGGTAGAGGTAAAGTGTTTAAAATTTCTTCACATATGGCTAACAGTTTGTCATGACAAATTTAAAGTCAACAATAACTAATCAACAACGAAGTGTATAGGAGAAGCTGTGAGTTACATGTGGAGAAATTCGAATACTTCACTTTTATCTGAAGTTTTTGTTGATTATGTCTTTCAGAAGAACGGTGAAACCTCTGCGATTAAACTATCCAGCTCATAGTTCATTAAGTATAAAGACTTCAATTTGATTTTGCAAGTCAAATACGTTTGTTTATTTATATCTTTAAATAAAGGTGTTTATGCGTGTCATTTCCATATAATTCAATGAGGTAAAATCCATTCATTCATTATCCGGAGCACTTTTGTTTTAAAATGTGAATTGGGGAGAGGGTTATTAACTATAATGTGCTTAAAAGATAGTGATTGGAGATAGTCAACAGGAAACCTTTGACCTAAGTTTCGTGTTACTTGGCACTCATAATCGAATCTATCAAGGAGCATCAGTTCCCTCATGATTACAGGTACACATTGCTGACGGGTGCCAAGTAGCATGAAACCTAAGTCCATGGTTTCCTATTGACTACTTCCATCCATTATCTTATCTCAATATAGTACACGCAATGTCAAGTCACCTAGATTAGTGACCACATTGCAACTTGATCGATAGGATTCTATGTGCACTAAGAAGGACATGACATATATGGCATTGATCACCACCTAGTGATCAATCATTTGTAATGGTATTTAAAATCCTATCACATAGCCAAACATACTTTATATAACTTATTGGATAGTAGTGGGTAGTAGTGGAATCCATTTCAGGCATTTCATCATTTTATTTGTGACATTAACTGAATGATCGATTCACATTATAATTTGAACCCAGTCACAAATCGTTCAGGTATCAATAGATCATACACTACCGTTAGAAGTTGTGATATCCATTAACTTGATCATAGGGTACAATATTTACCATTATTTGTGAAGGTTCCTGTTTTACCACAGCTAATCTTTTTATGACTGCATTTGACAGTTATTTATTATGAAATAAGTTCACTCAATTAAACCATCCTTATTGATAGAGGTTAAACCGCTGATATATTCCGTACTAAAGATCTGAGCCAAGTGGACAGTTCAGATTAAAGGCTTGTTAAGTCATTTTACATATATTTAAATTACCAGTAAAATTTTCACGGATCACGAACTGACCTTCATACTTATCTTCTTGGCATCGTTCCAATTTTAGTATATGTACAGCTGAAGCTAGTACACGAACTGATTCTTGGTTAGAGAATAATTGAAAAGTACGGATTGATGGATAGATTTTTCCCCCTAAGACATTACTCACCAAGAGTACTCATTAACAACCCATATTGCGTTGAGCTCTTAACCTTTTATGCCTAAGATCAGTCTATTTGTGATATTGTACAATTATATCACTGTCAATCTATCAATCAATAATATAAACTATAAATTTAATAATCTACATAAGAAGATTAGATTTTCTAACGTTCGGTAACTTAGTATAAGCCACTTCTTTAGTGAATAAATAACCAAATATTTGGTTATTTTAATAATTGGGATCATGAATCAATTGAAACAAGATCACCATGGCAAATCTAGAAGTACTGGACAACCGTTTCGTCCTATTAGTCGATTTCTCAGCAATGCGCATCCACGATCCCATTTCTCGAGATTCCAATCCAGAGTCTTTCAGTTTCGCGCGTGAACGCTTACCCACTAGATCAATAATCCAGCATCCAACAGTGTTAATATCTAACTTCAACCATTCCACGAAATTGAATGACACATCCACCAATGTCATCAGTGAGTTACTATCTCACAACAGATCTGGTTGATCTCCAGTGATTACTGCTTCTCATTAGATTCATAATCTCAACTATTAAAATTACTACAATATTCACAAAATCCCCCTTCTGATTTGATTATTTATTTACTCTGAAGAAATAGCTTACACTAAGTTACGAAACGTCAAAAAATCTATATTTATCCCTTTCAATTACGTAATAACTCCTCTTCTTTTTTTTTCTTTTTTTTTTGCTTGTTACTTTTTTTTCTCATTTAGTCTACATCATCATGGCTTGATTTAATCCCCCAATATAAACAAGAAGCACCTAAAACACCCCCTCATATTATATTACATTATGTTGCATTTAAAACAACATGGGATTGGTTAATTCTATTTTTAACTGGTTATACAGCTGTAATGGTACCATTTAATGCAGCATTTAAAAGTAAAACAATGGATGATGTTAGTTTCTTAGTAGTTGACAGTATTGTTGATGTTATATTCTTTATAGATATTGTATTAAATTTTCATACTACTTTTGTTGGTCCTAATGGTGAAGTCATTTCAGATGCTACAATTATACGAATTAATTATTTAAAAGGATGGTTTATAGTGGATGTATTATCATGTTTACCATATGATGTATTTAATGCATTTCAACCGGAAGCAACACAAGTAAGTTTAATTATTAGAATGAAGTTTTTGTAGAGATTTCAGTATTTCTTCTTTTTTTTTTCAAAGTTGAAAGCGTTAGTCAATTGAAGTTAGACCACTAATGGAAAACGAAGAAGCACTGAATGTCTGTTTCGTCCTACTATTGGACTCCTTAGCAGTGCGCATCCTTGATCCCGCCTCGCGAGATTCGAACCCAGGATCTATTAGCCTCGCGCCAGAGCACTTAACCGATAGACCACTGAAATGGCTGGCATCTAACGGTGTTAATGTCTAACTTAAACTGATCCACAATATGAAAAATTTTACACCATTTTTAAAATATTATTTTCATTATATAAAGGATATCTGTTGCTATGATGAAGTTTTATATTTTTAATAATAGTGATTATCTAATGCATAAACTCACACACATACATACATACATTTTGATGGAGTTTTGTTCTCTGAGCTGTATGGTTTGATCATGGAGCTTTTCATCGTTCTTCTGAACGACATCATCAGCACAAACGTCTGGTAGAAGCAGGGGTACTTAGCCTATTGTATGCCCTGATGGTGTTCTTATGACTTTTGGGTTGCCTGATCTGCCAAGGGCGATGGGACAGTCCATGTACCTATAAAAACGTTTGCTCTGCTTGTTAGAACGGATATCCGCCTCGTGACTTCCGAAGAATCTCGGCTTTCATCATGAGGCGTAATAATTATTCCTTCAACTCTCAAGACAGAGTTCAAATGGTTTGAATAAATTTTTCTGGTTAAAGTTTTTTGAGTGAGTTACTTTTCTACGGGATAGGGTCACTAACTCCATGCCCAACCCTCCTCCTTTATCCGCTCTTGAAATCGGCAGTAGCCCCCGGAGGAGATACAGGCGGAGTTATGTGAACATTAAGATAGAAGTAATCAAAAAAGAGGAGGGGTCTATAATATTCAGTTTAGGTATCCGGTGATCCGATCTTAGGCCGAGGTAACACATAGAGGCTGAATATTACCTTTACTGGATACATAAGATTAGTGTGTTAGATATCACAGTAACTATTGATTTATAACTGTAGAGTCTGATAATGAAGTCATTATAGAAACCATTGTCCTTTTTCTTTTAAATTGCCTAATTTCATTATATATGTTCTCTTTTTCCCCTACCCCCTTTTTTTTTCTTGTATTCATAGAGTACAATTAGTTCATTATTTGGTGCATTAAAAGTTGTACGTTTATTACGTATTGGACGTGTTACACGTAAATTAGATCAATATTTAGAATATATGGCAGCTAGTTTATTATTAATGATATCTGGTTTTGTATTATTAGCACATTGGTTAGCATGTATATGGTATAGTGTTGGACAAACTGATTTAAAAAATGGTATTTATTATGGTTGGATACCAAGATTATTAAATGATATTGATCAAGGTAAAACTACTTCAACTAATTGGACTAGTGGGGTAAGTTATTGATTAGTGATTAATCATTAGTTATTATTATGATATAAATTAGCTTTAACCGATTCATTTCTTCATTGAGTTACTATCTCACAATAGACCTGATTGAACTACACTGGTTACTGGTTCTTACTAAAACTCTAGGAATTACTTCTTGGAGCCAGTCACAAATGACCATATAATCATTAACAGAATAGGATTTTGTGGAGATTTTAGTAACTTTATAGAGTTGAATTCATGAGTCAATTGAAGCTAGACCATCATGGGAAAATTTAGAAGCTCTGGATGGCCATTTTGTTCTATTGTAGGACTCCTCAGCAATGAGCATCCATGATCCCTCCTTACGAGATTTAAACCCAGGACTTATCAGTCTCGTGCGCTAACGCTTAACTTCTAGACCACTGAGCTAGAATCTACAATAGGACGAAACAACTGTCCAGTACTTCCAGGTTTTTCCATTGTAGTGGTATTGAAACTGATGACTGATATATTTCCTAATTGTTTAATGATCTTTCCTTATTTTATGATATTAATTCACCTAGTTTCGAGGTTGAGATATTTCTTCAAGTTGGATTTGTTTTCTTATCCCTTATATTATTCAATGAGTATGATTAGTTATATTATCTATTTAACTTTTTATCATTAACTCATGAAGTTTCATTCTCTGAGCTGGATGGTTTTGTCGTGGAGCTTATATCGTTCTTCTGAACGACATTATCAACACAAATTTCAAGTAGAAGTTTAACTGAAGTTTGTACTGATTAGCGTTTTTTTAGCGAGTTAGCTTTTCTACGGGATGAGATCGCTAACCCCATGCTCAACCCTCCTCCTTTACCCGGGCTTGGAACCGGCAGTAATTCTAGAAGAGCTACAGGTGGAGTTTGTACTGATAAGGCACAAATCTACTCTACTATCTCATACTCATAAATTGTCTTAATTAGTTAAATATTTTCCATATATGGATATACTTACTACTGTATGTTGGAATAAAGTCTGATGAGGATTCCAATGAAAACAAAACTTTTCACTTATATAAGTGTTATTCTAAACAATAAGCAGTTAATCTCTGGTGACATATGTTATGTTTGAAGAGATTACGAGTTCTCCTAATCTGCGAACGGAATAAAGACTCAGTGAGACAATGACCCAATAGGTTAACTTTTCCAATGCATTCCATCTTCTCTAATTACAAAGGATAATCAAGGTTCACAACGACAAGAACAAGTACAACTCGAGCGTTTATATACAACATAAAAATGTCCTTGAGTAACATTACAAAATAGCATATTAAAAGAGACAACGAACCAATAATAATTAAAATCCTTTAAAGTAGAAAATACAACATGAAGGTGAAGATAAGTGCTGTTGGCGCAAAAATAGAAAACTCAAATTAATTTCAAAATAAGACATATACTAAGTTAGTTCTAAGGATCTAACATCCCTCAATAGCATGAAATCATTAAGTAAGTTAAGTAAAAATCAGACTACATTTACTTAAGTTAAAAAATATAGATTAGATTAGATTAAAATCTCATCTCAATTTGATGTGAAACATCAGAATTCTGAGTTTAACTTCGTTCTTGGTAGATTCTACTGAAATTGGTTTGTTATTCATTTATTTGAACATAGAATTATTGATGAAAAATATGACTAAATATACATGCGTGGCATTTCATCATTTGATTTGAATGTGGGCTGTGATACTGCTTGAGTGCCCAAATCGAAACAAGTGGTTTACTTATATGGTTACACCCCAAGTCTTTCATCCAAAAGTCTAATCCACAAGCCAGTAGAGCAACATCAGGAGATTCAATTTCATACCAACGATTGGTTCATATACCATTTGTTCGTTCAGGATACTGAAGCCTATGTGAACTATTGATTACAATTAGGGTTTTCCAACTCCTCTAGGTTGGCTCTCCAGTTCCACCAACCCGGTTGAATCACCATACATTCACTTTCCTTCCTTTCAATTTCGTAAACAACAGTAATACCACGAGAATGCATTGAGTACGACTTCCATGATAATGGTTGTACGTATGTAGTCATGTGAGATTATTTCAAGAGAGAGAGAGAGAGAGTGAGTGTGTGTGTGTGTGTACTCTCCTAACCCTCATCCATATCTAATCACTAGTTACTTCCTAACGGATTCTTTAAAATGAATTAACTTTATTCTTCTTTGATAAATACCAAAAAAATAGCGGATGACAATTCAATCTATTTGATCTTACCAATGTACATTCTTATTTATTAAATTTTATTTATTCATAAATTAATAAATATTGTTTTAACCTTAAAACGAGAAACGAGAAACAAGGAGAGATGAGGAGAAAAAGAGAAAGGGGAAAAGAGGAGAAAAGAGAGAGAAATCCTTTTTCGGAATATCTCGTGACTAAATAATGATCAGTGTTCTTCTATGTCTTCTATATGAATGAATGAATGAATGTATGGATGGATTCTAAATTGAATTATATACATATATAGAGTGAGAGAGATTAGCTTGAATAGAATGGATGACCTTAATTCTAATAAATATTAATAAAACATATATGTCAACTACAATTTATTTGCTAAGATATGCAACATAATTGAATGTCTTCATTGTTCAATTAATCATGTTTAAATTAAGAGAATCTTCTAGTCCTTCTTCTTCTTCTTCTTCTTCTTCGTATGATTGTTTGAATAAGTTTCTAGTTTACATCAAGAAATTGGTTTGATTAAAACAAAATAAAGTAGAAAAAAACAGGGAATAACTATATTATCTCAATAGTAAACTCTATAGAAGTGGTTATACATGATCAACATGTGTAGGATTAAATCCTAGTCAGTCAGTCAGCTAATGTGACCTAAGTTCGAGCTCTTGACGTTAGTTCCTAAATTTTAAGATCTTACTCCGGTGACGGGAAGTGGTGTGCAGTGTAGTGAAACTACATCATTTGAGATGGCCCGACCACCGACTGCCCCGACGTGCAATGTTTCATGGTGTAGGAGTAGGTTGGAAGAAAACTAGGGGCGGCCAAATCAAAACGTGGCACAAATCCATGAAGTCACTGACAAGTGGTAAGTGTAGACTGCCTGGTTGGGATCTGCGAGACGATAGCAATCGATGGTTAGAGACCTTGAATGACATGGTTCAAAATCATATGCAATGGCGAAGGTGCATCCACTCTTTGTGTTCTACTAAATTCGAATCCTCTGAATTCATCATGTCTCTATCTTTTTTTCTCTTTTCAAATTTATTTCACTGTATTATACTCCTTCAATAACATTTTCAAACCCTAATCTTTTCGATTACTGCTTATACTCTTACTAATTCTACCACTATGGGATTTGAATCGACAACTGTATCTCTGTGTTAATGTGGTATGGCAAATGGAACTGATGTACGTACGTACAAAGTTCTACGTTGTGATTGACTGACTTAGTATTGTGACAGGTATAAGGACGGTTTCAACTTCTTGAGTGCGAAAACTATGGAATGATACTTTATGAGGTACTTGAAAAGGAAACTATGTGTCGTCTTGTCTACCTGACAGCATAACTATAATGTTCAAGGGACATCTGTTTACGACTGCTTACATGTGACCTACTTTCGAGTTCTTGACGTTAGTTCCTAAATTTTAAGGCCTTACTCCGGTGACGGGAGGTGGTGTGCTATTTTTAAAGTTCAAATTTTCTGAGAAATATGAATCTGTCAGCCGCTGTTATAAGGCTGAAAAGATCAATTGGTGTTACAAGATCATACGGTTGGTCAGAGAAACGAGTGCTTTAGACTAGGTAGTCTACAATTACCAACATGGCTTATACGAACAATCTATAGCTTCATGAGTAAATTCCGTGTTTTCGTTTGAAGGTCGTTATCTTTCTTCCAACCGAGGCAGTTTCAGTAATATTGAATACTTGGTACAGTCCTGGAGATTAAGAATGAAGGATATTTAGATAAAAACAAGTAAAATATTACCGATAATAACAGATTTTTACAACGTGCTTCACTTGGCTATTAAGGAAAAAGAAAAGTTCTATTTTCCTCAGTCAGTCAGTCAGCAACAACGTAGGACAATGCACATATATGCATCGATTCAAATTGTTATAACTTAATTAGCACAACAAGATTAATAATAAATTCATAGAAGTAGTTAATTCAATAGTGTTAATATATAAAAGAAAGATTGTGTTATAACTTTTGGTTGAGTGGATACCTTCTTAACTTATGACATGATAAGATCGCAAATCACAGAGCAGAGATTTATTGATCAGAATAGTGATACATGAAACCATACGAGTAGTCTAGAGTACTATCGGTCCTGCTTCTTCCTAGCCCAGCCAGTTAAGTCCAGAACACCAATAACAGCCTCTGCAATATGAATCATCGTATTTCAAACATACTGAGTTTATAGACCAAACAGACTGACCACATTGTACCATAAAATAAAAAATAACATTTGTACAAGATGTAGCCAAATGTGGCTGTGAATAAGGGGAACAGTAATTAATCGACTAGGGATAATTCAAGAATGGTAAATGTTGTAATAATAGTTTATAGTTAAAAATAAAGCTCACAATAAGGGGAACATGAATATGAATAGTTGAGTTATTTATCAAATATACGATAAAAGTTACATGCATAATATTGACCCATAAATGGATCCCAAAGTTGCTATTCACTATTGTTATCGGGACATAACAGATTGTATATAAGGATATAGTACAGGAAGAAAGACAGATATGAAGCAATTTTAATCTCAAGGTTTAAGGGAAAATAGAGAGTGTATACAACTACAACGTTTTGATCGATTATGAGCCATGTAACACTGAGTCTGCAACCATTGATAACGGTAGTCACGCGGATCCCAACCAAGTAGTCTGTATCAACCAACATGGCTCACACCAGTAGTTAGTGCCTATATGGACTGATGCCACATCTTGGTTGGGCCACGCCTAACTTTCTTCAAACCGTCTCCAACACTAGTCAACATTGTGCGTCGTGGTAATCAGTGTTCAAGCGTACGTAACCACAAAACATTGAGGTAAATCTTAAGACAAACATTTAATGTTGAGGACATCAGATCCCTAGAACTCACTTGGAAAAGGTCCGGATTTTGTAATTCTATTCTGAAAATTTGAATTTTGTGCTTTCCCGCTAAGAAACGCTTGATTAACCTACAGCTTACTTTTCTCACTCGGCAGTCCTTGGCTGTCATTGGTTGACGAATTTTTTAGTATGCTATTTTATGGCTCTCCTAAGGACGTTTCTATCATTGTATAAATACGCTTGATTTGTATGCTTAGTGACCTCGTATTTTCTGGGTGCTTGTAGAATATATTCCCTAAGCCTTATCAAGACTTCTTAATCTAGTTAGCAGGGCCGAAGATAACGGATTAGAATTATCATAGTTGAAACCATGAGTCAATTGAAGTTAGATCACCAAGGAGAACCTGGAAGCACCGGAAAGTGCTCATCCACGACCTCGCTCCGCGATTTTCGAACCCAGGACCTACCAGAGCACTTAACCTGTAGACCACTGAGCCGGCATCCGATGGTGTTAATGTTTAACTTCAACCAATCCACGAAGTTAAGCAACCGTTCACCAATTGTCTTCAGTGAGTTCCTATCTCACAACGGACGTGGTTTTGAACTGCACTGGTCACCCGTTCTGATAATAGCAATAATCATATGCTCACTAGTGACTGACTTCAAAAGGTAGGTCCTGGGTTTCTAATCTCGCGGGGCGAAGTCGTGGATGCGCACTGTCGAGAAGTCCCATAATAGAACGAAACGGCCGTCCAGTGCTTCCAGGTCTTCCATGGCGGTCTAGCTTCAATTGACTCATGATTTCAACTATGAAAATACTAAACCTTCACAAATCCCTTTCGGATTAGAATTCGCCTATCGAGTCACTGTATCTTTGATCTTCATTCCGTTTACCGAGTTCTTACTCGGTAAACGGATGAACTCATAATAGCATCAAGCATATCATACATAAACATAAGGCTATTGTGTTGACATTCACTTGTTCACATTCCATTGAAAGTCTAATCATGATAAGTCATCTGTACAAACTATCTGTTCTAATAAAATATCTTCTTCTTATTTATGATTATTTAGAATCCACCACTTCCACGTACAATGACTTATGTAACATCATTATATTTCACATTATCATTAATTACAAGTATTGGATTTGGTAATGTATCAGCGACAACATTTGGTGAAAAATTAGTTGCAGCCGTCTTTATGCTTATTGGAGGTAAGTTTTAAAATTTATAACATAATGAAATACCAATAGTCTATTTAACGGTTTAATCTAAGCTGGAACATTATTGAAAGTCTGGATTCACTGTTTGACAGTCCAATTGTCATGGAATAGGACTGACCAGCAATGCTCATCTATGACCTCATACGCGAGCCTCGAAACAAAGACCTTCGATCTCCAGTGCAAACGCCTAACCTCTAGACCACTGAGCCGGCCGGCATTTAACGAAGTTAATATCTAACTTCAACCAATCTACGACATTGCTCCACCATCCACCATTGTCTTCAGTGAGTACCTGTCTCACAACAGGCACGGTTGAACTCCACTTGTTAGAGCTTCTCATTAGAACTCCAGGAAATACCTCTTCAAGTTAGTAACTAATGAGCACATGATAATTAATATCAGAATTCAGATTTGTAGGGATTGTAGTAATTTTAATAGTTGAATTCATGAGTCGATCTAAATTAGACTACCATCACAAACCTGGAACTACTGTGTTGACGGCTATTTCATCCTAGTATGGCACTCTTCAGGAGTGCACATCCATGATCTTTCATGAAGGATTCAAACCCACGACCTTCGGTCTCACGAGTGAACACATAACCTTTAGATCACAGAACTGGCATCGATTTACGTTTATTTATAATGAAATATAAAATACTAATTCATTATGAAAACAATTTACAGAACAAATTGTAATCCATAGTTAATTTATTACAGAATATTTAATTAGCTCACTACGAGCTTCGACACAATAAACAATGACAATGTCACGAATACATGCTACTGAAATGTTTTCGAAATCGTATAATTTTCTATATTGACCTTATCGGGTTAATCTATGGTTCTCTTGAGGATTGTTGTTCAAAGTGAATTCCAATAGCCTGAATCATCAAATGTCTCGTCAAATTATTAACCAAGTAATCCAATTCTCCTACTTATTGGGACATAACAAGTAGTATGCTTGTTAGTAGTATATTATAGTTCAACTAATCTGTATTAATATTATGGCAAATATTCTCTAAATTTAAATAGTTTATATTATCGATAGACATCATAGTAAGACATATCCATAGTCCGACTAGAAGTTCGTTGTTGCTCATCTGTATTGTATATCATTAGTGGTTCATAGATCCGGACGTATATTTCAGTATTATCAAAAGGTCATAGTTATTTATTATGTGAAATCCATATAAGTGGAGAGTTGTATTTCCTGATGTAGTGGCATAGCTTCATTAATTCATCACCTTTGTAACCGTTATGATATAAATCTCAACAATGTTTGAAATCAGAAAATAATAAGAAGCTGCAACCTACAGATTATTAGCGGTTGGTATAGGTGACAAAGTTATAAACATATCGAGCGGATTTAAAGCACAGAAGCAAATGTGCGTATGTGAGCTAATGCAGAGGTAAAGCATGGACTAATAATCAGATTCCAGTACATACATAACATTGGGAAAGAGAATGAATCATTGAGTGATATTTAAGTGATCAACATTTTAGCTACAGTCGGTCATATGGTCTAGTGATCATAACAGAACCAAAAAGCAAACGAATTGTTACTATTCAAATAATATTGTCTGTTGAGTAAGTTAATAAAAAGGTTTAATCAAAATTAACCATAACCCAAATTGGTTGTAGGATAGTTGCTATAATGTCGTAATCAGAAAGGGTTTTGTGGAGATTTCAGTATTTTCATAGTTGAAAGCATGAGTCAATTGAAGCTAGATCACCAAAGAAAACCTGGGTTTGATTCTCGCGAGACGATATCGTGGATGCGCACTGCTGAGGAGCCCCATAATAGGACTAAATGGCGGTCCACTACTTCCAGGTTTTCCTTGATGGTCTAGCTTCAATTGGCTCATGCTTTCAACTATAATAACGTAATTAATGTAAGTCACTCATTAGGTTAACACAAGATATGTATAATTTACCTAGCTTAACGGTACCAAATTAATATATCATTTTCCATTAAGTAATAATTTCTTTACCCAGGACAGGGGTTTAATTGAGAATATTGGTAAGCGGCCTATGCTTCTTCACGAGAGGGGTAACAGGCGTTAACAAAAATAATTTCTTATTTACCACTCGTCGTTAAATGCAGCCTCACACTTATATCAATGCTGTTCTATTTTACTTTAGAAGGGGTTTTTTGTGGAGATTTAGTATTTTCATAGTTGAAAGCGTGAGTCAATTGAAGCTAGATCACTATGGAAAACCTGGAAGCACTGAACGGCCATTTCATCCTATTATGGGACGTGGATTAGTTGAAGTTAGACATTAACACCATTGGATGACGTCTCAATAGTCTATCTGTTAGGTGCTTTGGCGGGAGACTGGTAGGTCCTGGTTTCGAAACTCGTGAGTGCGGGATCGTGGATGCACACTGCCACTGAGGAGTCCCATAATAAAACGAAACGACGGTCCAGTGATTTCAGGTTTTCTTTGATGGTCTAGCTGCAATTGACTCACGCTTTCAACTACGAAGATATTTTACTTTAATCATTTCATTCATGTTGACTTTTCTTTTTTCGGTAAACAAGCATTCGGCTATGCTACTATATTTGGTAATGTCACAACAATATTTCAAGGAATGTATGCAACACGTTCAAGATATCATGATATGATGGCATCTGTTAAAGATTTTATTAAAACCCATAGTGTACCAAAAGATTTAGCTGAACGTGTTATTGATTATGTTACATCAACATGGGCTATTACTAAAGGAATTGATACAGCTAAGGTGAGAAAATGTTTCTTTTTTACATTTATTTTCTTCCGTAAATAGTTTCCAATTCGGTTATCTACAAGAAATCATTAGTTAGTCATTTTGCTTTAGTATCAATTAGCATATGATAGATGCATGATTAAAATCAAGAACAGGACTGTAACTGTTGTTCTGTCAACATTGTTAAATCAAGTTGAAATGTGTTCTTATAATACTTACTTACTTACGCCTGTTACCCCACGTCGTACAGGAGCATAGGCCGTACATCAGTGTTCTCCATCCAAACCTGTCCTCATCAATCCTTTCAAGTAATTTCCAGTTGGCATACATCCTTTTCATATCTGCTTCTATTTCCCGACGTAATGTGTTCTTTGACCTTCCTCTTTTACGCTTCCTTTCTGGATTTCAAGTTCGAGGTTGCCTCGTGATGCCGTTTGGTGATTTCCTTTATGTATGTCCAATCCACTTCCAATGTCTTTTCCTAATATCCTCTTCAACTGGAAGCTGGTTTGTCGTTCCCCATAAAACGCTGTTGCTGATAGTATCCGGTCAGTGAATGTTGAGTATTTTGCGTAAACAACTGTTTATAAATACTTGTACCTTCTTGAAGATGGATTTAGTAGTTCCCCACATTTCAGCTCCGTACAACTTACTGTCTTGATGTTCGTATTGTTCTTGTAATGTATATGAGAAAATAGACTCTGAGTACGGTCAATAAACCGTTATTTGACAAATAATAAGTTTATTATTATTGCATTATGTCAATTTAAGGATTTCATATAAGTTTCATATTAGATAAGTGAACTGTTTTAAAGTAGGCTTATAGTGAACAACAATACAAGTGTGGACAATCCAATATCAGACTTTATTGTCCCTTCATTCCCATTTTATTTTCTTCAATCTTCGTAACCTTCTGCCTCCAGCCATTTGACTTTCGATTGATGATGCATACTACTTATATTTATCGATATCAGTAGCACACACCACAATAGTTCTTACTAAGTTCACATTCCAATTCCTCAGTAGTTACGTGCACATGTACAGCACTGGAATAGAGAATATACGTTACGTCAGCTAGATATAGCTAGATCTCAATGCTCATGTTCACAATGTCATTTGAACTTATCATCCTATTCGTCAGAATTTTAATGAATTATCCATCAAACTACTGATTGTCTACTGATAGTCACCGTTTAAATTTAATAAAAACTTATAATTGAAAAGTAAATTCATGACAATTTGGTCAGAATCCATTTTTTTATTTTTTTATTTAAACACATAAATATTGGTACAAAAGGGCACCAAATAGATATGCTCCGCACAAGTCACTTGATTTGAGAGTGCGCTGCGATACCGCCCGGGTGCTCAGACCGAAACAGGTGGTATCTTTAGGGGGGCCCAACCCCAGCCTTTGACCTAAAGGTCTAATCCATAAGGCAATGAAGCATCGTAAGGAGATGCAGTCACATGGTAGACGGTGACTAACACTTGGTTCGTACTCCATTGCCTCCCTCTGAATACTGGAGCCCATGTTCACCATTGGTTTGGAATCAGTGTTTTCCAACTCCCCTAGGTGAACTTTTCGTGTCCACCAACCCGGTTAAAGCGCCGGATATTCGCTTTTCGTCCTGTCAATTTCGTAAACAACACCCCCGCCACGAGAAGGCAGTGAGTAGGACTTCCCTGACAGAGGTTATATACGCGTGACTGTGTGATAGCATTTAGAGAGAGAGAGAGAAGGAACTCTCCTCACTCTCGACTGTACCAGGGTCCATACATATTTAGTAATCAGGTATATAAATGTATTCTTTTTTTTTGATTTATTGTTTCTATTAGGTATTAAATTATTGTCCAAAAGATATGAAAGCTGATTTATGTATACATTTAAATCGTATGGTATTTAATGAACATCCAGCATTTCGTTTAGCTAGTGATGGTTGTTTAAGAGCATTAGCTGTTAATTTTAATACAATTCATACAGCACCAGGTGATTTAATATTTCATCAAGGTGAAAGTATTGATCAATTATGTTTTGTTGTATCAGGTTCATTAGAAGTCATACAAGATGATGAAATAGTTGCTTTCTTAGGTAAGTTATATTATTGAAGATTGATAAGATAATAAAATGAATTATAATGATGATAATAATAGATTGACTGAATACTAGACATTTTTGTAAAAATGGGGGGGTATCCTTATATTAATAATGCGAATCGGTAATGGTTAGCGCTTTTTTAGTGAATTAGTTTTTCTACGGGATGGGGTCGCTAACCCCATACCCAACCCTCCTCCTGTACTCGGCCTTCGGATGGGCAGTAACACTAGAAGAGCTACAGGCGTAGTTAGAACGGGGCGGACTTGCATGCATATAGCAAACAATTCTATTTGAACCTAGCATACAAGAATACTGTCATGCACTGTCCCATCGCCCTTGGCAGATCAAGCAAACTGAAAGTCACCAGAATACCATCAGGGCATACGACAGGCTAGGTACTCCTCCTATCTCATACACACGAACAAATTCAGACGAAAACAGCAAATGTAACAGCAGCCTCTGCACCAATAGACCTCAACATACACAAATGAAAAAGCAAGATTCTTAAATACAACATGGAGAACACCAACCCAATCACACTTGATGGAAAATCTCTGGAAGATGTGGAAACATTCACGTACCTATGTAGCAGCATAATTGATAAACAAGGAGGATCGGATGCGGATGTAAAGGTGTGGAGTGGCAAAGCAAGGACAGCATTACTACGATTGAAGAACATATGGAACTCAAAACAACTTTCAACCAATTTCAAGGTCAGAATCTTCAATACGAACGTCAAGACAGTCCTACTGCATGGAGCTGAAACGTGAAGAACTACTACGGCCATCATCAGGAAGGTGCAAGTATTTATAAACAGTTGTCTACGCAAAATACTCAACATCCACTGACCGGATACTATCAGCAACAGCGTTTTATGGGAGAGGACAAACCAGCTTCCAGCTGAAGAGGAAATTAGGAAAAGACGTTGGAAGTGGATAGGACATACATTAAGGAAATCACCAATGTGCATCACGACTCAATCCCTAACTTGGTATCCGGAAGGGAAGCGTAAAAGAGGAAGGCCAAAGAACACACTACGCCGGGAAATAGAAGCCGATATGAAAAGGCTGAATAGTAACTGGAAAGATCTGGAAAGGAAGGCCCAGGACAGAGTTGGATGGAGAATGCTGGTGTGCGTCCTATGCTCCTTCACGAGGGGTAACAGGCGTAAGTTTGTAAATCGGTAGTTATAAGCAATTTTCCTAAATACGAACCCAGTTGACTATTCCAAAGAAAAGACTGAGATAGCTGATAAATTTGCCAGTAGTGACGAGAAATACACATCTCAACAACTCATAAATCATCACATATCTACATAATGAATAATAATCAAGTTATATATTCTGGCCTAAAAGAAAATGTATCTAAACGATTTGAAATTCTCTTGAAATTCATGTATTATAATAAATGAATGTAGTATATAGTTACGTTCTATTATAACCAAACAAAAGATTGAAATCTAAACACCTTTTGGGTATCTACCTGTAAAGATTACTGAGGACTACATTTCTTTCTATTCAAAAAATTAACTCACTTCACCTTTAACTTACTTAAATAATCCATGATTTGTTTCCATTTCCATAAATGGTATCGAAATCTGTCGTCATTATTGAGACCGATTCGATCTTTTTATTGCATTCACTACGCATGTAAGAGTCTTAAGTTGTTTCATGTATTTTTAGCATCGAAAATATTTTAGTAAATAATGCTAAGCTACTTGTAAGTAGTTAAATTCTTCAATGTGCAAAACTATACAATTCATTTTAGTATCCAATTTAGTATGCAAATGAAGTATAAAATTAAAGTGTAGGGTTATGGAGATTATTATGTTTTTGATTGACAACATGACTAGTGAAGGTAAACAATATCAGGTAGAAACAGCTATCTACCTCAGATAAAGGAAGTTGGTCACGAAACTTCATAGATTGGTTGTTGTTGAACATTGGATGCCTGCTCAATGGTCTAGAGGTTAAGAGTTCGCAAGCGAGACCGAAGGCCCTAAATTTGAATCCGACGTCTGAGATCTTGAATGCGTACTGCTGAGGAATCCTACGATAGAACGAAAAAGTCGTCCAGTGCTTCCATATTTTCAAACTCCCGTTAAATTCAATAATTGTTGATTAACCACTAATAATTGGGGCGCAATGTTTATAAAGAAACCAGTTTACACAATAAATCAACAAAGTATATCAAATGATTTAAAATTCCTAGATTCTATTAGTTGAAAGGTCTTAAGTAATTATTACTGAAGATTACCTTTTACAACAAGATACCAGCTATCTAGTACTGTGGTATGAGTTACTTATATCCACATAAGTAGTATATGGTGATTGTCATGCATAGAATGTATTTTGGCAGGAGATCGATAAGGAAAGAAAAGGATTGTAGCGCAAGCAGTATGAAAATGCATGAACAATGAAATCAGAGAAGATGAACTGATATTTGATGACGGGACAGTTAAAATTGAGACAATCGATTAATCGTTTGCAAATCAACTATTTACTATATGGTTGTTGGATTTTATTGAGATAGTTCGTAATTTATGCTTAAATACATTCGACTGTCCCTCAATTCATGTTCTTATTCACTACAGTACTCAATAACCTTCTTACATATTGAATAGTTCAAATCAATTCCTTAGATTTGAACAATTATTCATCAAAGAATTCATCGAATATAAAGTATGATTATTATCATTATATTACTAATGATTATCTTATTATTATTTGTTTTCTATTGATGATCATTTCAATTCATAAAGGTCGTGGTGATGTATTCGGTGAACCATTTTGGAAAGATCCAAATAGTATGAATCATTCAGCGGCTACAGTTCGTGCACTGACATATTGTGATTTACATTGTATTAAAAAAGATTGTCTATTACAAGTATTAAAATTTTATTCAGCATTTGCAAATAGTTTTGCTAGAAATTTAATATTAACATACGATTTAAAAACTCGTGTAAGTTATGGATGATTATTAATGATTATTATTATCATTGTATTATGTTGCTTCCTTAGTATCTATACACATATATTGAACCTATTATGACTTTACAAAAGAAGGCCGTTGCCAATTCGTTATGATTTTATGCCCCGCTATTATCATGTGACTTATCCACCAATCGGAATACAACTTGTCTAGTCTTAGCACAGTGCCAAATCAATGACATTCAACTGATATGAGCAGTCTAACGCCCTTATTTGTTCCTTGTCCGTCTAGCCTTTACAATTGAGTCCAGAACACCAATGACAGCTTCTGCTATACGAATCATTTATTTCAGGTATACTCGGTTTATATACCAGACAGATAGACCGCATCACACCATAAAATAGAAAATAATATTTATACAAGATCAAGCCAAATGTGGCTGGTACAAGGGGGCACCAGATATATATGCACCACACAAAACTGATTTGATTTGTGTGAGGGCTGTGATACTGCCCAAGTGCTCAAATTGAAGCAGGTGGTTTACTTAGGGGGACACACTCGGAGGCTTTGACCTAAAGGTCTGATCCACAAGGTAGTAGAGCATTGTGAGGAGATGCAGTCACATGGTAGCCGGTGACCGACGATTAGTTCACACGCCATTTGTTCCATCAGGATACTGGAGCCCATGTGCATTGTTGGTTTGGAATCAGGGTTTTTCAACTCCCCTAAGTGGACTCGCTGTGTCCACCAACCCAGTTAAAGCGTCGGAAATTCGCTTTTCGTCTTCTCAATTTCGTAAACAACAGTAATGCCACGAGAAGGCAGTGAGCAGGACTTCCCTAGTATACGTGAGTTCGAAGTGGGGTACAGAGAAGAAAACTATTCTATCACCTGATTGAATGACAGGCACGAGAGAGAGAGAGAAGACAAGACAACTGAAACAGTACTCGCTTCATTTCAAATTCTGATCTGGTATCCAAATTCCGATCAGTTTAAAAAGATACACATATAAATAGATAACTAACCTGACCACAACGTACAATAATTAAGAATATACAATTATGTCCAAAACTGGGAGATGAGAGTAGAAAATAGAGTACAAAAGGTTACGTCTAAATTACAATAGCTTTGGAACAGAAAATGCTATGGCAGTGAATCATACATCAAACGAAAGCTTATGATCTGTAGAATAGACTAGGGACAGAAGTAACTGTTACAGTTTTACAAGCTTTGAATTAAATAAATTAACGTCCGTACTTTGTTAACGCTTCTTGTTTCGCTGTTCACATCAATAATAATGATTTTCTACGGATAAAGAAAACAACTTAGGCTTAGATTTTGTTACACACTATTGAGATATTTGTCAGTAAGCCTAGGATTTACACTGATTAGCACTTGCCAATATAATGTATGGTCAATTCTTAAAGCGAATAACTTGCTCCTCACCTTATATAGTACTAGAGATATAAGCGTAAATTAGTCATTAATTTATAATCAGAAGGGGTTTTTTGTGGAAATTTAGTATTTTCTTAGTTGAAAGCATCAGTCAATTGATTCTAGATCACTAAGGAAAACCTGGAAGCACTGGATGGCCGTTTCGTCCTATTGAGGGACACCATCGGATGTCGGCTCAGTGGTCTATTAGTTAAGTGCTCTGGCGAGGGACTGGTAGGTCCAGGATTCGGATCACGCGAGGCGAGGTCATGGATGCACAGTGTTGAGGAGTCCCACAATGGGACGTGTCGGCCATCCAGTGCCTCCAGGTTTTCAATGGTGGTCTAGCTACAAATGACTCATGCTTTCAACATTAATTTATAATCAATAAACAGTTGTTTAATTCTTAATGCAAATAGAATTATGTTTGCAACGTGTTTGCTAAGTTGTTCAACACCAAGTTATTTAGTAAAGAGTTCTGAATGATTTACACTTCATGTTAGCTGTCACTTATTAGTAAGAACTATCTGCAATCTTGTGGGAAGTGACGCTTTTCATAGGATTCGAAGTTGAGTCTAACAGCTTCACAATTTAAAACATTACTATTGAACTATCTGGGTAATGACTCGAATTCTTGATAACTACGATATTTACACTAATTATCATCAACATCTTTGTCTAGTTCCTTATTATTGATTTAATTAACTTGACCGAATAACTGAATATTAAGGTTGATTTCATCCTCTCTGGATTTTTTTTTTCTTTTTCTATTAGCTTATCTTTCGTAAACTAGCTGATGTACGTCGTGAATATGAATTAGCTGAAAATCGTAAAACTGATAATGCATTATCTAGTTTACGTGCTGATCATCCAGTTCGTCGAATGATTCATAAATTTCGTCGTATTGGTACACATAATCAATCAACAAATGATTCACCAATTGGTAGTAATAGTAATAATGGTCCAGGTTTACAAGATAATAATGATATAATACATATATCACGTAAATCTATCACATTTGGTGATTATGATGATTATAGTAAAGATTTTGAATTGAATGAAAATCATGAAGATCAATATAGAAATGAAAATAAATTTGAAAGTTTAAATACATCTACTACTACTAACACTACTACTAATACTACTAATAATAATAATAATAATCCTGTTAGTGCATTAGATGAAATCGCATCTCGATGGGGTAAACGTATAGAATTAAAAAATAACAAGATAATTACTTCTGAATCAATTCAACAGACAGCTCCTTCTAATAAACAATCTACAAGTAATATAACTACTACTACTACTACTATTACTACTACTACCACCATTACTACTACGACTACTACTAATAATAATAATAATAGTAGTATTATCAATGATCATCAAAATTCACGATCATTTTTACAATCTAAATTAGATAATTTATTAAAAAAATCAATCAATATACCTGAAAAACAATCAAATTCATATAAAATCAATCATGAAAATATTGATTTATTGATTAATAATCAATCTAAATTAATCAATCATAATTTTAATCAATTAAAATTATCGAATCAATCAATTTTAGAATATTTAATCAATATACAAAATGAATTTAAATTAGAAATGAATCATTTAATAAATCGTATTAATCATATTGATCATAGAATTGATCAATTAATTACTAATATAGATTATAATAAACAAGAACCATTTCATGAAGGTCACGATCATCTTCATCAAGGTCATCAAGATCATCATCGCCAAGGCCATGAAGATCATCATCAAAGTCACGAAGATCATCATCAAGGTCATCAAGATCAACATCATCGACAACCACCACCACCACCACTCACACAACAATATCAAAAACATGATGGTAGTAGTAATAATGATTTAAGTAAATTTATGAAAACAGTATTTCCATTATCATCATCATCTACATTATCACCATCACCATCATCGTCATCATCATCATTGAAATCATCTCCATTAAGATCAACTGAATTATCTACCTCATTAAAATCTCGTCGTACTTCCAATTTAACTATATCATCAAATAAAATACATCCATTAACTAATTCTATTAATAGATCAAATATTCCATCAATCAATCAACATAGAAATAAACAAAATAAAATGAATTTTATTAATTTATTACCATTATATAATAATCCAACAAGACAATGTATATCACAATATTATAAACAATATTCTATAGAAACAGATAGTCAATTAGAAAAATTATCAACAGAAAGTGATATATCAATACAATTGAATGAACAAATTAATTTAAAACAAACCTCATCAAGATCAGGATCACCATCAGGATCAGGATCAGGATCAACAGGATCATCGAAAATTATTTTAAGTAAACCAATACAAACTACTTATTTTTCTACTAATTTAATTAATACTATTACTACAAATCAATCAATAAACAATTATCATTCTTCTATACCATTAATATATAATAATAATAATAATAATAATGATAGAAATGATTTATTCACTCAATCAATCTCATCTAATTTAGATTATATGAATAAAATACAATTGAATCATCGTAATCCATTTTATTCTCAATCTATTCATGGATCAGATAATTTAATGAATCAATCATTTAGTAATTTATTCATGACTACTACTACTACTACTACTACTGATACTACTGATAATACTACTTATACTACTACTACTACTACTACTCATACAACTCATACTACTGAACGATCAGCGATTTTATCTGATACAAATTTATATACAATTCATCATACCTCTGTGCCTAATTCTTCATATTTAATGTCGTATACTACTACTACTAGTAGTAGTAGTAGTAATACAAGTAATACAAATAATAATAATAATAGTTGCCAACTATCTGTTAATAATCGTTGGAATCTACAATCAGATATATGGAATACACGATTATTTATTCCAGAACCATTATCTGTAATGACTACTCCTATAACACCACCATTAATACCACCCCCAACAACAACAACAACAACAACCACATCAATATCTTATCCATTTCCAACTACTTCACAATATATTCATTCTTCTTCTTCTTCATTTACTCAAAGATCTCATGTGATGAATACTAATAAATTGAATAAATCTAGGGATTTCACTTTGACTAAACATTAGAAATCAAGATTACTTACTTGCTTACTTTACTTACTTAAGCCTGTTACTCCCAATGGAGAATAGGACGCCGACCAGCATTCTCCAACCCACTTTCTCCTGGGTAGAAATCAAGATATATCTATCTAATCTAATCTATCTATCTATCTATATAGATAGATTAGATCGATATCACCTTTATTTTTTATGAGTAGTTTTCTCTATTATCTTTCTCTTTTTTCTCTCTTTTATTTTTTTTTCTTCTTTTTTTTGTTTGTTTTTGTTGTAAATTGGTTCTTTCTCCCCCCCCCTTATTTTTCTTCTTTTTTTCTCCATTTTATTTTAAACAATAAAATAATGAATGAAAACATAAATATTTTCCCCCTATACAATGTGAATATATAAAAACTTATATTCCAATATATTGATATATTTTTTAATTTAGGTGTACAAAGTTCATGTAGACAAGCACGCACGCACGCATGCACGCACATACACACACACATATATATATATATACACTTACACATATACATACGCATAACAACAACAATAACAACAAGATGTGTAATACCATGGTGAAATTAAACATTTAACACGTGTGTTTGTTTTTTCTTAGGATTTCCTTAATCAACAAAAATTTAATTGTTTGTTACCAAGGGGAAAAAAATAATTAAAAAAATTGTACATATTAATTGATTAAAGTTTATTTTAAAATTTGAGTTAAAAAAAAAAAAGAAAAAAGAAGAAAAGAACCATTTTGAGAATAATTTTTTTTTTCTTTTTTTGTTTATTCATATTTTATTATTTATGTACTTAAATGTTTATCCATTTGGAGGCATCTCAATTAGTCAGTTAGCCACAACGTAGGACCAGGCATATATATATATATATATATACATCGGTCCAAGTTGCCATACCTCATTAGCATAACAAGATGAACACCGAATTCATAGAAGTAGTCACTTCAATGGTATTAATATATAAAAGAAGCAATTTTAATCTCACGGTTTAACGGAAGACAGAGGGTGTATATACTTACGCTATTGTGATCGATTCTGACCCATGTCATACAGAGTTTCCAATCATCGGTTACGATAGTCACGTGGACCACAATCAATTAGTTTGCATATACCGACATAGCTTAGATTAGAAGTTAATGACTTCAAGGACTGATGCCACGTTATGGTTTCGTCACTCCTAACTTTCTTCCAACCATCTCAAACACCATTCAGCATTGCGCGTAGTGGTAATCGTTGTCCAAGCATACGTAACATGTAGCCTAACCATCTCAGTCAATGAAGATTCACAACCTACTATCATTCCCTAATACCCTGTATTTAACCTTACTATCACTAATCCAGTGATCCCAACAGATATGAGCAATATTTCTAACAAATCTGTGATCAAATACTAGTAGCTTACGAGTATCTTCTACCCTTAATAGCTAAATTTCGCATTTGTAAACTAGGACAGAATGAACTGCTACGCAGTATACTCGTCCTTTAATTGATAGACAGATATCTTACCTTCGCCATAGGTGATGTAAGTTGGTAAAAGTCGAACGAGCTTTCTGAATCCGTGCAGAAATTTGGTCAAACATGGGCATCTACTCAATCTCTTTTAATTTTATGATAGAGAAAATTTGTAGTTTATTGTTCTGAGCCAGGCAATTTATTCATGAAGCTTTCTTTGTCTATTCAAGTAACATCACTTGAACACATTTCAGATAGAAGTGAGTTGTGAGAATTACTCTACATATGACTAGTCGCTTGTTTTGTCAACCTTGAAGTTGATTGCCTATTATTGACACATCCTATTATTATCTGCATGGTTACTATGAATATCTTCTCATTTCATTCGTTTCTTGACCGTATAGTTATATTGAAATGTAAAGATTAATTTCTTATTGAAGTAATTCCAGTACGTTAAATCAAGGATCAATTAATTTACAAAACAATGAACAAGAACAAGGTACTGGGTTCGAGTCCCAGAGTGAACATCAACTCTGAGGTGCAGGTAAATCCAACTGACGAGTCACAAATAGGACTAAAAGCATCAAACTGGATTCCACTGCTAGTCACTATCCATCTTTGCTCACAATGCTTGTGATTTAAGGTTATATCGAGGCAATACGCACATATGCAAACTGGAGAATGACCAGTTGCAGTCCCAACACATCAATAGGAATATTCAAACAAACAATACTAAATGAATTTAATGAACTATATTCTTTGTGAAATGATGATTAAAGATAGTTGCTAAGCAATGCTGATTAAAGTAAACTGTTGATAAGATGGATTACAGTTTATTTATTAACAATTTCACTTCGAATGGTATATCTGAAGGACTAAGGTACCGTCTAACAAACGAGTCAAACATGATATTCCAAGTCATATATTATCGGTTTAATGATAATAAATCCATTTAAAACAGACCCTGTATTGAATCATAGTAATGCTGTTTATCCAGTGTTTCTTTAGCTAAAAATTCATCTTGGCAATCACCAGATGGTGAGCTTAAGCTATATCAGCTCCTCTCCTGGTTCTCATGTCTTACATTGAATTTCTAAAATTCTTACTGATGTGAATATGAACGAACTGATTCGGTGTAGTGTGATCCAGAGAAACCCAAGTAGCTTTGTGTATACTTCAGCTGTTAACTGAAAGGTTGGTAGTTCGTGCCCACCCGGAGGAGCAAGCTACATTGCCCCCAAATGCCCTGGTATGACCGAGATTAGGGAGAGTCTGCTCTCTCTCCAAATGCTCTCACCTGCCCATAAGTATAAAGCCTCTGCCAGGGAAGTCCTACTCACTACCGTTTCACGGCACTGTTGTTGTTTACGAAATTGAGAGGACGAAAAGCGAATGTCCGAAGCTTTAACCGGGTTGATGGACACGGAAAGTCTACCTAGGGGAGTCGGAAAACCCTGATTCCAAACCAATGGTTCACATGGGCTCCAGTATCCTGATGAAACAAATGGCGTATGAACCAACTATTGGTCACCGGCTACTATGGAATTGCATCTCCTCACGATGCTCCACTGCCCTATGAATCAGATCTTTAGATCAAATGCTCCGGGTGTGGTCCCCTAAGAAAATCACCTGCTTCTGTCTGGGAACTTGGGCATTGTCACAGCCCTTACACAAATCATATGAGATTTGTTTGGCGCATATATATCTGTTGCTTCCTTGTACCAATATTAATGTGTTTAAATATATAAATAAATATTTATTCTAAGCATATTGAATTTATATATTCACATAATTATCAACATTAGTGAATACTAAACATATAAATAGTGGTAATTTTAAATCATATCTAATCATTGCAATAATAAGAATAACCAAAAACATAATTATCAAGATATTTTACAAAAAATCTCTCAAAAATTATTCACTATATTGGCGTTAAAATTTGGGATACATAAATATACTACTGAAATATAAATAAGTAGATAACATAAAACTATATAGTTTTACAACTAATATATGTACGCTAGGCACAAAATTATATGATATAGAATGATTACACAAGAGATATGTATAGTATTCATGTCATTTCATGCCTTTCTTTATGTGTTCACAAGAGGATAATTGAGAAGTATAGCAACACATACACAACTAACTATTCAAAACTAAAACTTCGATCATAGAATCAAGATAATAATATTTATGTGTGCGCAAACAGTTGAACATTGTATAAATGAAGTGAATACAAAAAAGTAAGTTGAACGACAACGAAATCATTAATAAGAAGTGATTTTTGTTTATAATTGGAATTATTGCGAGTTTTTGTGAGTGTGTGTGTGTGTATATAACAACAGGAGGATAGAGATAGATATACATTATATCGATCGGTGTAATCATTCCAAGAATCGTATACTCATTTTTTGTTCAATATCCACATTGTCGAATGCCTGAAAGAATATTAACAAAATAAGAACAAAAATGGAGTGTATAACTTTTCAAAAATTGAAATTATATTCCTGAAATTTTCAAGGAGAATTTTACCAACGATTATAGTTCAATATGTTAATTCATCACAATCTACTTAATCTCTTTGATCCTACTTTTTTGTCCAATCATATTTATTTATTTATTTTATTATTTAAACACATAAATATTGTTACAAGGAATCTCCAGATACATATGCGCCACACAAATCTCATTTGATTTGTGTGAGCGCTATAATACTGCCCAGGTGGCCAAACTGAAGCAGGTGGTTTTCTTAGGGGACCACACCCGGAGCCTTCAACCTAAAGATCTGATACACAAGGCAGTGGAGCATCGTATGGGGATGCGATCCCATGGTAGCCGGTCACAAACAATAAGTTCATACGCCATTTCTTCCCTCACGATACTGGAGTCCATGTGCACCATTGATCAAGGTTTTCCAACTCCCCTAAGTGGACACTCCACATCCACCAACCCGGTTAAAGCTTCGGACATTCGCTTTTTGTCCTCTCAATTTCGTATACAACAGTAATGCCACGAGTAGGCAGTGAGTAGGACTTCCCTGGCAGAGGCTATATATTCGCGTGGCCATGTGAGAGCGTTTCGAGAGGAAGAGCGGACTCTCCCACTCTCAGCCGTACAAGGACATTTGGGGGCCATCATGTGAGTATTGATGATGATACTATTGACCAATTACGTAAACTAAAGTCTAAGAATAAAGGTTTGAATATAAAATAATAATTAAAAATTTGAGGGATATATTCATTACATTCACAGAAATAAAACATACTTGTACAAATTCCGCATAGGATATATAACAATCACCATCAAGATCTGCTTCAGCCATTGTTCTTTCACCAATATTATTGATCTGAAATGGATTGATTTCTCATGAAATAAACATATCAAATTATAATCAGAAGGGGGTTTTTGTGGAGATTTCAGTATTTTATATGGTTCAAATTATAAGTCAATTGAAGCTAGAGCACCATAGAAAACCTGGAAACACTGGATGGCCGTTTCGTCGTATTATGGGACTCCTCAGTGGCAGTGCGCATCCACGATCCCACCTTGCGAGATTCGAACCTAGGACCTATCAGTCTCGCACCAGAGCATTTAACCGATATATGTATACATATATCAATAACTGATATTATCTTAAACAATTATAGAAGTTACATCATTTCTTTTGTGTCAACAGATTTAAATCATCCAGCTTAGAGAACAAAAAACTCCATTAAAATCACCCACCTGAGCTACAAATCTTCACCATCAACAGATTCAACATAAATTTACAAGTGTAAATACAAGACTTTCTCTGTATGAATTCTTTTCTTTTCTTTTTCTTTTTCTGGATCTGAACAGATCACATTATCATTATATCCTATGATATATTGTTGAATACACACACACACACACACACAATATGCCCCTTTTATTTCAATATGATATAGTTTAAGGTAATAAAACAGCATGTGTATTGTATTAGTTTCTATGTAAAAATCCATTTTTTTGTGTATTTTCTGTGAATTTTTGATGATGTATAATCATGAAATATAAGTAAAAGCTACACATAAATATTCAACTAACACGAAAGTCAGAATTTTCAATACAAATGTCAAGACAGTTCTACTGTATGGAGTGGAAACTCGGAGAACTACGAAAGTCATCATACAGAAGATACAAGTGTTTATTAACAGCTGTCTACGCAAGATACTTCAGATCCGTTGGCCAGACACTATCAGCGACATTCTACTGTGGGAGACAACAAACTAGATTCCAGTGGAGGAAGAAATCAGGAAGAAGCACTGGAAGTGGATAGGACACACTTTGAGGAAATCACCCAACTGCATCACAAGACAAGCCCTCACATGGAATCCTGAAGGCCAAAAGAAGAAGATGAAGATCAAAGAACACATTATGCCGAGAAATGGAGACAGACATTAGATGAATGAACAGGAATTGGATAGAACTAGAAACGAAGAGGTAGGACAGAGTGGGTTGTAGAATGCTGGTCAGCAGCCAATGCTCCATTGGGAGTAACAGGCGTGAGTAAGTAAGTAAGTTTGTATAAAACGTTTTCTTCGAATATAATAATGAATGTTTCCATCACATGACAAAAGAGATTACTATGGCAACTAATTTATCATAGTACCTGACTTATAGGTTGTGTTAACACTTAAGGAAAAGAGGAAGACTAAAGAACACATTACGCCGAGAAATGGAGACAGATATGAGAAGAATGAGCAAAAGTTATATAGAACTAGAAAGGAAGACCCAGGACAGTGTGGGTTGGAGAATGCTGGTGGGCGGCCTATGCTCCATCGGGAGTAATAAACGTAAGTAAGTAAGTAAGTACACATAATTACAGAACAGTGACTTATTGACTGGACGAATAACGCATAAACTCATACGAGCAGTCTAGAGTCCATATCGATACTTCTTCCTGTCTAGCAATGCTTAGTGAGTACAGAACATCAATCTCAGCCAAATACCCTGCTAATGCCGAGAGTGAAGAGAGTTAGCTCTCCCTCTCCAAATGCTCTCACATGGCCACATGCATACAACCACTGATCAGGTAATTCCTTTCATCGACTGAGATGGTTGGGCCACGTGTTACGTATGTCTTAACACCGACTACCACGACGCATTATGCTGTCTAGTATTGGCGATGGTTGGAAGAGAGTTAGGTGCGGCCAAAACCAAAAAATGGCATCAGAGCTTGAAGTCACTAACTTCTAGTCTGAGCCATATTAGTTGATTCTGTAACTAATTGGATGATAGGTTTATATTGAAACTGATTAAAACAGGATTAGACTTTCAATATGGACATCACGAGGATGAATAACAACACAACCAATTGACAAATTGTAAAACAGAATAAAAACAAATGTCCTTTTATAAGTCAAACAAAAAAAAATGCACAAACCTGTTCAACAGTAATATTAGCACCAACCATCATTTGTAACATCCCCAATAATTCATTTCTTGATATTTTACCATCCATATCTAAATCATACATACCGAATAGAAATCGTAATTTTGCATCACGATTATTAAATTGAGTTGATTGTTGTGGTCGAACTTTACGAAATCTTGCTAATTTCCTTACAAATTGACGAAAATTCAATTCACCTTGACTGTATATAGATAGATAGAGAAAAATCAACAACAACAACAACAACAAAGTAGAAACAAAACATAAATAGGTTCAATATTCAATTTGTCATTTTTACAAATTCGGTATTGTCATGGTTGCACGTCTTCAGTCATGAATGATAATCGTATTTAAAATTTAAATCAGTTATCCCTATTATATATATATACATATATATATGTATATACGGTTTGGCTTGACCGAAATGGAACACACACACACACACAATGTTCTGCATCAAAAAAATGTATACAAGCCTCATTTGCATAAAAATTTAATATTCAACTTGAAAGTAAGTTATAGAATATTTATTGTATTTTATTTAAACACATAAATATTGATACAAGGAAGCACCAAATACATATGCGCCACACAAATCTCTTTTGATTTGTGTGAGGACTGTGATACTGCCCAGGTGTCCAAACTGAAGCACGTGGTTTTCTTAGAAAGCCAAACCCCTCACCCTTTGACCTAAAGATCTGATCCACAAAGCAGTGGAGCATCGTGAGGAGATGCAGTCCCATGGTAGCCGGTGACCGACGATTGATTCATACGCCATTTGTTCCCTCAGGATACTGAAGCCCATGTGCACCATTGGTTTGGAATCAGGGTTTTCCAACTCCCCTAGGTGGACACTCCACATCCACCAACCCGGTTAAAGCGCCGGACATTCGCTTTTCATCCTCTCACTATCGTGAACAAGCCCGCCACGAGTAGGCAGTGAGTAGGACTTCCTTGGCAGAAGCTATATACGCATGGCCATGTGAGAGCATTTGGAGATGGAGAGCGGACTCGACCCACTCTCGGCCGTACTAGGGCATTCGAGGGCCTGTAGTTCATATCGAGAAACGAAATGATTATGTAATCCTGATCATGTTAATTCACTGTGGAAAGTGAAATCCAGTTGACTAGTTACATCATTAGAGGCCATAAATTGACTTTGATAATGATAATCACGTTGATAGTTGTAGGAGCTAACCAGTCAGTCAGTCAGCTACAACGTAGGACCACGCACATTTATGCATCGGTCCAAGTTGCCATACCTCGTTAGCACAACAAGATGAACACCGGTTTCATAGAAATAGTTAATTTAGTGGTGATAGTATATAAAAGATAGGTTGTATATAAGGATATAGTATAGGAAGGAAGACAGATATGAAGCAATTTTAATCTTAAGGTTTAAGGGAAGATAAAGAGTGTATACACCTATGCCATTGTGGTCGACTCTGAGCCACGTCACACAGAGTCTCCAACCATTGGTTACGATAGTCAAGGCGGACCCCAACCAGGTAGTCTGCAACTACCAACATGGCTCAGACCAGAAGTTAGTGACTTCAAGTTCTGATGCCATGTTTTGGTTTGGCCGCACCTAACTTTTTTCCAACCATCCTCTACACTAGTCAGCATAGCGCGTCGTGGTAATCGGTGTTCAGGCATATGTAACACGTGGCCCAACCATCTCAGTCGATGAAGATTTATCACCTCATCAACTGATTTACCATCATTCCCTAACACCCTGCGTTTAACCTCACTATTACATACCCGGTGATCCCAGCAGATGCGAGCAATATTTCTAAGGCATCTGTGGTCAAATACTAGTAACTTACGAGTATCTTATACTCTTAATGGCCATGTACGGACTAACCCAGACTATTCATTAAAGAAACTAATGTAAAGCTTTGAAAGTATCGAATTCACTTAACTACAGTATCAAGGTACTTAGATATGAGCTACACTTTAGGTAAGGAGGTTAATAATACTACCTGGATGCCAAAACTGAAGTGGGTGGAGTGGAGTTCAAATCCGAGGACTAAGTAGCTGAAAGTCGAACAGCTCAACCAATAATCTACCACTCCTCATTAAGAGAATATGATGAACCAGAAAATTACTGTACACCAAGAGACACTAGGAAGCTGATTCGATTTTATAAAGAACTCAACAGGATGCATAAATGATCTCCCCATGAAACTCCATACATCATGGTGTTAGGATGAGATAGAACATGAGATCATGCTTTCATTCATCATGATATTTATTCAGCACAACATGGGAGATTCACTTTTTATTCATTCAGTGCAAAATCTATTCTGTATCCCGGCTATTTAAGTTATGTATGGTATATATTGACGATTGATTATATGCCAGAGAAATATGTACATAAATAAATGTATTTATTTAATAAATCGTAGTCATGCTTTGGTAGAGTGAATAGAATTTCTATCTGCTATTAAATCTACCTTCTTTTCAAGTTTTGCAATTTTCAGTTTTCTCACTTGTTTCTGTTTTTCATTTACACTTAAACCACTGAGTTGGATAAATATAATGGCCTCCAACTTCATGCAATCAGTTCACGATATAAAGGTCTTACTCTCTGTATGATTGGACTTAACTGTACAAGGCTGATCATTATAATTTCAAGTAAGGATATTTTCCCCATTAGTATTCGTCGTTAGTATACCCAAGGAGTTAATTCTTATGATCGTATTATTCCATTCTGTATTTACGTTTCATCAGCTTGACGCATCCACTTATCCCCACGTTGTTGTTTTTTAAATTGAGGATAAAACTCAGTCTTCATTTCATAAAACACATACTACCTTAGTGATTCAGAGGATCCATAAGTTAATGTAAATTTATCAAATCCACTTCTAGTGCATAAACGATAGGGAAACAAAAACTTTAACACATAATAACTACTGTCATTTCGTAGTTATTTTCAAAAATAACTTACGTTCTACTAATTTTATTTGCTACTAATGTCAATTTCATTCTTTTGGTTATTTTACATTGAGAACCAATTCAAATAAGTACAAATTCGAAGACTTGAGTAACGCATGTCCAAACTACATTAGAGTCAATGAATATTTACATGTCCCTTGATCGATTTATCATTCTCACTTACTATCTTATGAATAACCTCATCATTAGTCCCAGTGTGATTTCATTAACATGTGTGAATGATGTATTGAAGAAAATCCTACGGATTACGTGTTTGCAACCAGGTCCAAGTCTTTTCAACAGGTAAAAGTGAGTATATAAGAACTTTCGTCTAAACTGGATCGAATAATTATATTGAATACGTCACAATTGGTGCAAATATAGCAAAAGTTGAAAGCCACAAACCCATCAAAAATTCAAGTGGTCAGTTGACGCATTCGACCAATTCACCACATACACAATGAGAGACTTGGAAATGACACAGAATCATAGTGATAGAAATACAACTACCAATTATTATTACTATATTTATAGATAATGAGCACTAAAAGATGTGTTAGTTTACCTATCTTTAAAGAATTCATTCACGATTCGATCGCCAAGTGGATTAATGGCTAATTCTGGAATTAACAGAAAATCATGACGCCTGAAATATCATAAAAAAGGGTATGTGAAGGAAATAAATACAGAGAAGTGTGTTCAGAGCAACTGTTTTTTTACGCATATTAAAATATTTAATGTGCGACCTAAATATGACTTACCAACCGACCGACCGACCAAACGTAGCTGTAGCCATTACGTGGTACTCAGGATTGCATAACATGATAGCCCGATCGAGCCATATTGGCTAAGGGACTTGTAAGATTCTACCAAGTCAGGTATGTCGACCATAGAGCAGTAAAATCAATGTCCGAAAATCAAGTTGCACAGCCAACTGTACTAGATTGTGACGGCAGTATGGTGTTTCCATGAAACAAACAGTATTTCCAGTGGCGTTTTCTTACCATAACAGATAAGGAAAGGTCAATCGAAAAAAATACGTCTAGCTTTGTCTCGTGAACTGCTGCCACCAACGGTACAACCTAAAAATCATGTGGCTAACGTGAATTATACTCGAAAAAAGGCCGTATGTAACGGGACTTTGGCATTTATCTGTCGAAATTCGCGATCGCGCTCCCAGTTCATCGAGGACACGACTACCCCAGTATCATGTTCAGATCCATCAAGTACACTTTCACGCTTTAGAAACCTTAAATTGACAGCTCCCTTTATATCCCTAACAGTACTTGACATAATCATTTCTTCACGTGTCAACTTAACAATCTATAAACATGTCATATCAACCAGGGTTTCGTTGATTTAAGAGAAATGGCATCACTTTCAATGGACGGCAACTTATAGGGTTGCTTTTTGGTTCCTAAAACCAGGCACATTTGAAACATAGAATGATTTGGTAGTCGTATATGGATTTTACATACATTTCATTTCACTTGTTCACAATTATTTTTTTCTATTAAAAACCAACTATTTTCACAACCCACTTTTTCAGTGGCCAAAAACTAGCTTTACATTCTGTCATTTTACGAGCCACTTGACACTGTTTATAGACTTAATTTTCACCTGTTTGCCATTAAGCAACCACCCGGAGGCCGTATGTTTTCACGAGTTGTTGAAACATCAACGTGACAATTTCTCGGTAATCGCAAGCAGTTAACATACTAGTAACCCAATGAGACGAGTGTTCATAATATAGGATGGACTTCTGAATTAACCAAACGCACTTATTCCAAATAAGCAACGCTGTGTAAACAAAAGCAAACGTTCATAACAGAATTTAGTGCGAATTTAGACAAAATGTGACCAAATAACTTCTCTTCAGATCTAATAAGAGGGTTTACTTTCCCTTAAACTTTTTCCTTGGGGGGAAATTCTGACTGAAATCTTGTCGAAACTTTATCATTCGTTTGCTCTTACATGAAGACGTTTACCTTTTGACTAAACAAATATATATAACAATCTCACTTAGATCAAACGGTTTGAAACAAACGTTCATGGCAAGAAACATTCGCACGAAATAGTACTTTGCATGAAAAAGATTTAATCCGCTATTAGAAAGGCAGGCATTTGTATGGAAATAACCGCTAACATGGCGAATATCTAGGAGAAAAGTTCATTACTGGGTTGAGATCTGAACGAAATTTCCCTTGTGGGGAAAAATTATTTTGAGAAACAGAAACTCTGCTAAAATAAAACCAATATAAGTTAAACGGGTACATTTTAGTTACATATTATTACTAAAAAACAACTTCAAACCAATGGTAAGTCAAGCTTACCTCAAATACCCAGCGTTCGTCTTGTCCAAAGCCAAATATCTATTGTATAATCGATAAATCTGTTTTGGAGAAACTTGTGGAAAGGGTTGAGAGAAGTATGTCAAACCTACACCCAGTTTCTTCTGCAATTTCCTCAACCTCGGACTGGTCAAGTGTATTCGAAGTATTCGCCCCCATTGACCTCTCAACAAGGTCGTTCAAAAGACTTCATTCAAATGGTTCAAATGGTTCAAATGGTTCAAATGGTTGAGGACGGAATAGAAGAAGCTTTCGCTTAACGGGCTTCCGTGTCTGGTAGCAGTGGATCACCAATACCTCCAGGCAAGAACCTAGGTATATGAACGATAATAGAGGAAAAAAGGAATTTAGTAAATCATAATAATATGTTATCCTTAGTCCTTAAGAATAAGTCAAGCTTTCTCTTAAAGGACTAATGGGACGTCGCTTGGACTAGCTCAGTAGGCAGCGAATTCCAGCACTTGACAACTCTAACGGAGTAGAAGTTGTGTCTGCAGTCTATTCTGCTATGTAGGGTCTCCAATTTCTGGGTGTTACCTCTGAGGTTAGTGTGTGGGGAGTAGTGTAACGTCGTGTACTATATTACACCTACATAGCTTATTCTAGTTTCTGGACAAGCCAATTCACCTATAACGTTTTCTCATCAGGCGCGCGTTTCAAAAAGGGCAGTGACTTTCATACTTGTTGTGATTATCGTTGCTTTTGTGTATTTGCTGTATCAAAAGCATTCTTGGTCTACTTTAACTTGAATTAATCCAGTTAAGGTTTGAAATTTTATTGAAAACTTTGTCTCGTGGTTCCTTCTTTTGCATATACTCTGACGCTTGTGCTATTATTGTGATCATATTGTTTTTTAAACCTAATCTGATTACAATGGTTGGTAGTTCATTCAAATGTGGACAGCCGAACTGTTTATTCCCCGTAGATGAAGGGATGCAGTGCGATGAATGCAAAAAATGGTACCACAAGATGTGTACCCGTCTCAGTCCAGCTGCATACAAAAGATGTTCTAAGCCTAACTCGCACTGGCTTTGTATGTTCTGCTGTACTAACAAGACGACATTAATTCAAGAGGCTATGAGCCTATTGGCTCTAGCCTGTAAAACGAAAGATAGTGGGTGCGCTAGTAACGCAAGCACTGACAGTGAAGACTGTGTCAGTGTTGTAAGTGCTGTTACAAAACGCACTGAACAACCTACTCTAATTAATGACAAAGTGAAACTTCTGTTACAACAAAGGAGGAGTAAATCACCACATGGTATTGACATGAGTAATCATGTATCTTTAGTAGAAATTGAGGACCCGGATAAAACCGTCACCGTCCCCAATAGTCCCAATGCAGCTGTCCTGAATGACCAAAAATGGACCGCAGTAAAGAGGAAAAGAAAAGGAAAAAAAGCTAATGATAAAGCACACTTGGTTGACAAGCCATTGAGGAACTCACAGTCTGAGTCACTCAATGCATTATCGCACTCTGATAGAACGGCAGATCATCATCCTAGTGCGACTGAGAGGAATTTAATATCATCGAATATTATTGTGAGTAAATTGCCAGAGTCTAACGATCCAGATCCTAAGGTTAGACACACCCATGACTTAGAGAGGCTCGGAAAATATATCCGTAGCATATTTCCAGATAACAATAAAGGTGTTCAGGTCAAAAAATTAGTTAGAATAGGTAAAAGGGCCGATGACAGTGTTCTACCCCGACCGTGTAGACTCCTTAAGGTAATCTTAGGGTCGGAGAAACAACGTAACCTTCTGTTAAGTAACGCTCGAAGTCACGACAACTCTGACATTCGAGTTAGACTGGATATGTCTCTTGAAGATAGAATAAGGAGGAAGACGGCATTAGCTGAACTAGAAGCCCGTCGACAAAACGGTGAAGAAAATATCCGATTGGTGGGTTTTCGAATAGTCAGGTCTTGGAAGCGAATGCTACCAAGGTCTGTGTGGATAGGTCGTTCCCCCTAGGAGTTTTATACGCCAACGCCCGTAGTCTAAAACATAAATTCTACGAGCTAGGAACATTAGTGGACAAATTAAGACCACTAATTGTAGCTGTGACGGAAACTTGGTTAGTCCATGACTTCGATATCACCCCAGAATTATCCGGATATCATTGTTTAAGAAGTGATAGACATAGATGCAGGAAAGGAGGTGGCGTCCTTCTATACATAGCCAATAGTATAAATATCCGCTCCTCCGTTTGCGAATCCCATGATAGTGGAACTAGTGAAGTCATTACCTGTGAACTCACTGTCGGATGTTGTACATTTGCACTCGGTGTCATCTATCGCTGCCCAATCTGCTTAGCTGATGACTTTATTTTAGAGCACATTCGGCTATGGGGGTGCAAATAACAGATGCTTGATATTAGGAGACTTTAATGCACCTGACATTAGTTGGACTGAGATGACCACGAAATGCTCTATAAACTCATTTGATAGCAGGCTCTTGGAAACAGTAATGGAACATGCATTAGTACAACATGTATCCAAACCTACACGTTTTGGTGTAAACCAAGGTTCTTCTGTGTTGGACTTGGTAATTACCCATGAGACTGAGGATATTGCCAACCTAAATATTCTTCCCCCGTTAGTAAATAGCATTCACGCTGTTTTATCATTCACGTTTAGAGCTAGCGATATGATATACGATCAGATTAAGCCTCGCCCAAACATATGGAGAGCTAACATACCAGAAATTCAGGATTGTGCTACTAAGATAGATTGGTCAGTAGATACTAGCTCATCAGTTGATGAGGCGTGGTCTGTATTTAAAGGCAAGTTTAGTGCAGTCACATCCCCGTTCATACCACACTTGGTGCCACGTAGACCGAACAATAGTCCACCGTGGATAAATAAAGAAGTTAAGAAACTCCTTAGGCGTAGAAAAAAACACTGGAACATGTTCATCCCTATTGGCTTAGAACAGCACAGATCTAGTTATCGTAAGATTAGAAATAATTGTAAAGCGTTAATTAGTAGAACTAGACGGTCATACGAAAAACAATTGGTTAGGGATTGCAAACATAGTCCAAAACGGTTATTCTCGTATATAAAGAGGCGAACTCAGAGAAGTGATGGAATACCATCACTTTTGATACAAGAAAATCCGTTAAGTTTGGCAAGAAATGTTACCGAAAAGGCGGAAGTTTTTTCAGAATATTTCAGTAAAGTTTTTTCGACCAATAATGAGGAACGATCACCTATTCATTGTGATTGTGGCGACTTGTTGATGGACCCTGTAGTTATTAAGAAAGAAACTGTTTTAAGCCTACTTCAGCATCTCAAACCTGATAAGTCTAGTGGTCCTGATGATATTCATCCTCGGATTATGAAAGCCCTCTCAGATGTTATTGCTGAACCCTTAGCGATGCTGTTCGATATGTCCCTACGGCAGTCAAGATTGCCCAGAGACTGGAAGGACGCAATAATCAGTCCGGTGTATAAGACTGGGGGTAGGGATTTAGTTAGTAACTATCGACCCGTTAGCTTAACTAGTGCAGTTGTAAAACTAATGTAAAAAATTATTAGGATGGCTGTTATAAACTACGTGGAAAGACATGATCTTTTGTCAAAGGAACAACATGGGTTTCGAAAAGGTCTATCATGTTTGACAAATCTTCTCATTGCAAGAGAAGATTGGGCTGAGGCGAAAGATCTCAATATTCCTGTAGATGTCATTTTCATAGATCTAAGTAAAGCCTTTGATAAGGTTTCCCATTCTGGTCTTAAATTGAAACTAGAAAGTTTTGGAATTCATTATGCAGTCATAGACTGGCTAAGTGACTTTCTTCATGAAAGGAGACAACGGGTAAGAGTAAATTGGGCTCTCTCATCGTGGGAACCAGTAAAAAGTGGCGTCCCCCAAGGCACGATTTTAGGTCCTCTTCTCTTTTTACTTTATATAAATGAATTACCAGCTATAGATAAGTCATCCGTCCTACTATTCGCCGATGACATTAAGATTTGGAGACCCATATATAGTATGTCAGACAGAATAGTTTTACAGGAAGATCTTAACTCAATAGTTGCATGGATGAATGGGTGGTCACTAGAAGTAAACCCTAATAAAAGTGTTGTGATGCAATTAAATAACTACGATGATTCGTATTACTACACAATATGTGGACTAGTGTTGCCCAAAGTAAAAAACTATAAAGATTTAGGAGTCATACTAAGTAATTATCTCAAAACAACCAGTCACTGTAAGGCTGCTGCTGCAAAAGGCTATAGGGTATTATGGTCTATTCGTAGATCTTTCCGGTATCTGGATGGGGAAATGTTTAGGTTATTATACCCAACTTTCGTACGGCCACATTTGGAATATGGGATTCAAGCAGCGAGTCCTTGTTTCAAATATGAAGCAGATATGTTGGAACAAGTCCAACGCCGCGGGACAAAAATGGTAAAAGGCTTATCTAGCCTATCTTATGAAGACAGACTGAGACACCTCAACTTATTTCCGTTATCTTACCGGCGAATACGGGGTGATCTAATATTGGCATATCGTATCCTGAACGATGACCTTGGTACTAACATGTCCTATCTTTTCCTCCCGTCTAGGGCTGATCATTTGAGAGGACATTCAAAGAAAGTCCAAAAACCGAGATCGAATCGTCTACGTCTGGAGTTTCGTTTCTCGCACCAAGTAGTGAATTACTGGAATTCTCTACCAGAACACGTAATATCAGCACCTTCTGTTGATATATTCAAGACGAGATTGGACCTCCACAGTGTAACAAACTGCAAGGATTAAAATAGGTCACTAGACATTCTATCCTTATTACTGAAGACTGAGTCATATTTTGATCTTGTTATTATTCGCTTATTGACCTTGACTATTTTTTTATATGAGCGTATGTGTATGCACATTTCTTATCCTACCTATCACATGCCTGTCATTCATTTTAGTCTGACTATAAATGTTGATTAATGCTTGCTTATAACGAGTTGGCTTACCAGCCATCTCCCATGTATGTTATTTTTTCTTCGCTCGCTAACATTTACTCATGTGCTTACTGCCTTCTAGCTCTATGTTATTTGTCACTAAATATGTAGTTGCCGCTTCCCTTTGTCTTCTGATATTATACACCGTTCAGATTGATATAATAACGGTTATCGAGATAATCGATTAACGAAGCACTACACTAC